ATAGTCCTATGCCATATAGACTTGTCATATAACAAACAATCTATAAATGAATTATTACAAAATTATAATAAAGAAATGGAATAATTTGTATAGAGGTTGTGATACGAAAATAAAAATATATTTCGTCACTTCATCGTTCATTTGGACGTCAGAGACACCTTCGCCCTTTCACGAACCCTTTCGCGAAGGGTCCATGGGATTCCAAACCAGTTAAGGGGTCGGAAAAGTGCACTTTTGCCTATGGTTTGTAGCGGGAGCGTGTTCAAAAACCATTATCCCCTACGGTAGAATTGCGCTGGGCTGGCATTAATGGAGCCGAGCAGAACGACCCTTCTGAAGCTGAAAATATATCCGACGCTCTTTTCCCGCCGCTGAATTTTTCATCGCGTCGCGAACACGCGGCTATTTAGCCTCACGCCGACGATCGTAGCTGCGAATCTCGTTGCGAGAAACACGAAACCCCTCGTCTTCCTCGTTTTTTTTTTATTTATTCCACCCTTTGCAGTCCTGAATGTGTTTTATCGTCACGAAATTCGCAGGGTCTGTAACCCTTTCGCTGACGTTGTTCCTTTTGATCGTCACCCCTTTCGATATTGTTGACGATGGCTCAGGAGTGTTCTTTGTGCAGGGTGTAACATTCAGATGATTCTTTTTAATTGTAAAGATACGATGAATGTTTTTCACACCCTTTGATGTTGACTTTTCATTCAAGAATAATGGGGAAAATATGATGAAAAATCGTGAATTTATTTATTTTCTTTTACTGATTTAATATTATAAAAATATTTTAATGAAATTTTAGATTTTTCATTCGATATTAAAATTTTAGAATACTTATTAACAATTTGAAAAAAGACACGAATACTTTCGCAGTTCATTTACTTCAAATTACGTTAACCCTTTTCTTACACTTTCATGTGTCCGGAATGTTTGCGAACGAGAAAAGAAACGGCACGATTAAACGGGGACGAGATAATCTAGAGTAAGTGGAAGGGTAGGAAAACAGGGTAGAAGCATTGTTTAAATTAAATTGAGCAAAACCAGGAATACCGAATCCTCGAGCAACAGAAAGAAATTGGCTTTATTTACTGCTACACTTTTGGAAGGCAAGAGACCTGCTTCCTATTTATTTTCCATGGCTCTCTATATTAAGTTCTTCTATATTCTACCTTCTCTTTACTATATTTTTGTAATTAATTAATTTTTTAGAATTTTCTTGACGTACGTCAAATTATATTTTTCTCGTTTCTATATTTTATTTTCAATTCACAATTTAAATAACCTAAAATAATTTCAAATAAATTATGGATATTTATTATTTAATTAATATATTTTATCTTGAATATTTAACAATAGATTGCAAAATTGAAGTTCTGAATAATATTTATAATGAAAACCCAAGAGTTTAAAACAATTAACCCGTATTGTTATAAAAATTTCAAATATTTTAAAATTAATTAATTAATACAGTATCAGATGACTAGAAAGCACATATTGTTATTCAAGGAGTGATCTTTATTTATTACTAAGTATTAATATAATACGTTTCAATCGAGTGCGATTGAGAAAAAAACAGTAGCAACATGTGCGATTGATTTTCGTTTAATTACCATGGTGAAATGAATTTCTAAAAGCAAACAGGAAAACCTTTCATTTATCGATTGTGAACACACGAATAGGGGAAGCAGGTTTTAATTATATCGAAGCTTTCAATTTAATAAGCTCCATGTTAATTCGGTCTGTTTCAATGGAAAATCTTATTAAATGTATGGAAACGGGCTCGTTTTCGAATTCATTGCAAAGCAAAATCATGTCAAACTCTCATTTGCCTGTAGGCTCCAGTACGAGCTGTAATTTTCGATAAACCAGCTCCAGTTTTGCATAATTAACCGTCACGTTAAATCGATACTTACTCGCGTACGTCAGTTACTTTAAAGACCCCTTTCCACCTGATTTTGTACGTTCAATCTTCCCTAACAAGTCTAGAAAGAAAGTAGGTTCGTGCCGATAATAGTTGTGAAAATAAAAATTTATTTGAAAAGCAAAATATTAAAAACATCACTGATTAATATTTTTCTCGGAAATAATAGAAATATGGAAAAATGAAAGAGAACAGAATTTTGTTATTTTTATTATATTTATTGGGTAATTTAGCTTGAACAAAGAGTATTCTATACAGAAAAGATATCAAATGTGAAGATCTTTTCTATAAATGATGAAAGACATCTGAAATGTGTCGTCCCTTTAAATAAGCATTACCTTCTCTGACAAAATAACTGGCTACCCTATATTTCAAGGGTTTTATCGCGATCAATCCGCTTAGATTCGACGAGTGTACTAGGATCAGCCGCATTAGTAGCGGACAAGAGCCTTAGCGAATCTCCTTTCAAGGAAATTTCACGTTTTAAATCGTTTCTTATAGTATCTTCCTTCCACTTCATTTTTAATGCCACAATTCTAGAATCTCAGATTTATAAAATCTCCAAAGTTTAACAACATTTCTAAGAGACATGGCCCACACCCAAAAGATTCTAATTACGCTACTAATTAATGATTCATTTATAACTGATTGCTATCTGAAATAATAAAGATAATTATTAACCATTGTGCTGAAATACTATTCAATAAAATTCGAAGCTACTTTGCAATATACTTGGATCTGATCTCAAGCCAAGTACTCGACTTCACCATCTTCTTGTTCCCGTTAATTTGCATAAAGACACGCGGAACAAGCTTGGTCGTCTTGTCGCGTCGTCGACAAGGATCGTTCGTTGAAAGCTCCTTGGTTCGTTCTGATCGAGCGCAATTTAGAGCGTCACGAGCATCTCGCACGGCTCAGCGAGCCTTAAATTGACCGCGTTTTCGCGTCGGGAATCGTATTAACCGGTCAGAGCTTCCGTTTTCGCCCACAGTTTGTATGCAAATATCGCGAGGATGGTTCGCCCATGGGGTACTGAATATTCTTTTTCTCCCATTCCAGTGTGAAACACTAAACGACCAGGTGAATTTAAAGCTTGTTAGCGAGTAAAATGAAGCGTGAAATACCCGAAGACGCAACGATGGGCTTAATTGAATTGCTTTAATGGAATATTCGCAGAAAGGGATATGGGATTATTATTCATTTTTTCTTTTATCATTAAAATAAAAAAATTTAATGCTTCATGGAAAGTAATCTTTGATGAGTAAATTAATTTTCTACCCTTATGAAAAGAAATATTTTATTAAAAAAAAAGAAGAAATAGTTTTTCGCTCTTACCAGGAGAAAGATTTTATTTCAGAAAAGAAACTGATATCAAAGGGTAGGAATAAATCCATGTTACAAAATTCTTCTTAACTCCAGCTCTTCGACTGCAACTCTTTGAAAGTACTCCTGGCTTCAAACTCCCTTGCTCCAACTAAACTGAACTGCAAACTAAAACCGCTTTCCGATCTCGCCACGATCCTAAGAATCCATTTAGACACCGATCTTGCTCGAAATCGTATCTCATGTCCTAGTTACTCGATCTCTCCGCTACTTCACAAACTTTCCATTCGCACGCTCCTGTACCACGAGAACAAGCCTTATTCACACCTAAAGTAACTTCAATTCGGCTTATGATAGAATTAATCGAGCACTGCGTTTCTACGATAGAATTTCATATTTCAATGGATTTTTTTCTCATTAAAAATAAATCATTGAAATATTAAATTGGCAAATAGATTTGTAAATTTTTATATGGAAAAAGAATATAAAAGTTGCAAATACCATATTACAATCACCATAGAATACAGAATAAACGTTGCAGAAAAATACGATTTTCCCTCGAGGGTTTCTACCCGTAAGAGTGTATGAAAAAAAATATCGTTGAAATTCTATCGAGCTGTCTAAACGGTGTCGGTGAACCGCAGTCATGTAACGCCGCGACGCTTGCTAGTGGAAACTCGTCGATCGCGACGCCTTTCTGTTTGGCATAGCTTGCAAATCTTCGCGTGCGATAAATCGCACCCCGTGGCCCGGGCTAACTGAAGTGGTTAATTGAAGCCCGAGCGAGGAACTGGTTTTGGCAAACGGCCAAAACGACTGATCATACACGTGGAACAGAAAGGCGAAGTTCGCTGATTCCTCGTCCAGTTGGTAATTAAAATAAAAAAAACAGGAAAAAAAAATCGATAATACCAATTTTCGAGCTCAAACGATAGTTTAGTGGTTAATTGAAACACTTGTCGTGCATTGAGGAGCGACAAAAAGAAAATAAAAGACAGTTTTGTTAACTTTAAAAACTAATAATGTTAAGGGTAAATCTAAAAAATAATCGAAATTCACAGAAGTCTATAAAAGGAAAGAACTTTTGTCATAAATAACGCATTGTAACATCGGTAGACATGAAGATCAAGAAATATTATTACATTTGAGAGTGGTAGAAGCGCAAGTTTTTCCATTTCTCGTGTCCGTCTGATTTATAACCAGCCTTGTGTACCCAAGCATACAACTATCAGGGCCCTTCTTCTTCTATGTACCGTACTGTTTCCTTGACTGATAGTCGACCCTAAATGGACGAGGGTAAAAGACATCCCTTAAGCCTGGCTCGTCCCTGGAATTCTCGATTCGACTTTCACCATATTTCTTCGTTTCCTTGGATGTCTCGAAAGGGGAGAATGGAGGTTCCTTCTTCAGGTTTATGGGTGTGAGGGGCAATAATTAGAAGTAGATAAGTGAACAGCTAAAGGGCCCTTGTAATTTGTATAGAATTGGGGAATGGTAGAAGTTATTACAAGATGATGGTGGTTTACTGGTTGAATTAACTTGTTGCTCGATAACATTTACGGTCACTGGTGTGATTAATTAAGATTTATATTTAATGATAGGTATCGTGAGATTCAGAATTTTTGAATTACAATTATATGCAATTTTGTTTTTTTATCAATTTTAATCGCTAGCAAATTCTTTTTTGGAGCCTTTTCTGATATTAAGGCGTGAAAATAACAACGAGTCTCACTAACGATGGTAATTTTTGTTACAGAGTCAGAGGTGAGATCGCCCCGTTTCACTGGCTCTAGTTGGCTGGCATTTCCAGCCCTAAAGGCTGCTTACAAGCACGTCCAATTAGAATTGGAATTCCGACCGGAAGCCTGGGACGGAATTCTGCTGCTCGCAGGCGAGAGGGATGATCTTCAGGGTGACTTCATGGCCTTGATACTACATCACGGTTTCATCGAATTTAGGTAACGACATTTCTCCTTAATTGTACTCTTCCTGTCAAGGGTGCAGATTCCGAGGGTACAGATTCAATGTTTTTTTTCTTATTAAATAAACGATGTTTGAGGTGGATAAGTAGATTGCAGAGTAATTTGGAAATTGAGTTTGTTCTTTGGAGGAATTGTGAAGGAACTGATTTTTTAAGAATCAAAAATAATTGTAGCTTAAAAATTGAAATATTATTATTTTTACAAAATAATTATCAGTATCGATTTCAAGATAAATTAAATGCGATAAAATTTAATGGATGCAAATGAACGTCTTTGGTGTCGGCGGATGAGCAACGAGAATAGATAGGTATCTTCTATTCCAATTTCATCAAAGTTTATCGATCACATGCTGGCGATGGACTGTTGCCTCGATAGAGCAACTCGTTCTGCGGTAAATTGAAGTAAATCGCGGCTTCCCGCGAATCCTTTGATGTCCTATTGCTAATAGGGCAATGAGGTTCCAGGGAAACTTTGGTCATACCGAAGGAAGTTGAGGAAAGTTGGCATAATACAACGATGCATGGCGACGGTACAAAGTTTGCGACAAACACTCGACTCATTATATCGTTCCAATCGATTGAACTTTGACGATCTAACGAACGCGTTTATCGATGAAACTTTGATTTCCATTCCATTCTTTCATCTTCATTATTATCAAGTATCTAGGACGTTCAATCATTTGAGGAATAAAAAAGAACATAAGAATAACCAATTTCCTTAATAATTATCACGTTAATTGCAATTTTGTATTTAATTTTATTAAAATATTTTTCTATTCTAAAAATTGATCTAAAGAAAAAATGTATAATACTAAAATGATTGGAATTTGAAGAAAGATCAACCTCCTTCTTTGAAATTTTTATTTTATTTTATTTTCATATTAATTATAATAAGGATGAAATGAATTACACGTTTCTAATAATTCATTTCGTGACTCGTATACGAAAAGAAATCTGTCTACGTGACTTGTCATGATTCGCGTGGGTGGCAGGAAAATGTCAAGTACACTTTTTGCCCACGATCGTGGAGAAGGTCAGGGTCGCGATCTTCTTTCCCTAGAGGAGTCCTTAATTATCATGCCGGCTCGCTTATTCGCGTTAAAACTGCGTCTTAGGTCGAGGTAAACGGCTTTCGAACGAACGAACCGCGTAAATCCAACCCGGCATCTCCTTATCCTCGCGAGAGACTCCGACAGGCATTAGTCTCTCAACGGATATCCGGCGACAATGGCTACGAATTGAATTTCTGTCTTCTGCCCCCTTTACGACATCGTGGATCTTTCTCTCTTGCTAATCCCACGATCAACTCGAGTGCAAAACGCGCAGTCAAACTAGCGAGATAGAGAGGTTTAAACTGTACTTTAGACAGACGTGTTTCAGATATAGAACGTTTCCAAACATGTGACAGCTACTGGAGGGATTAATTCAAAACAGTCAACGAAGAACAGTAATTTAACTCTTATCATTCTACCAACAGCAATTTTGCTAAGTAGAATTAATTTTCTTTCACTACTAAATGAAATACATTGTGTATAAATTATGTTGAATCATTGCTTGGGAGATTTCTCAATTACTACTGGCATGCATATTTTGGCATACCTATCAGAGTCGCATTAAGTCAAGGGAATAGGAACAGCGTGGTCAGACGGGTAGAATAAACGACCAGATAAGTAGAACAAGATAGGCGGATAGCCGGATAACCAGAATGGGGATGTAGGTTGTTAGATGAGTAGAATATGGTGATTAGGTCGTTAGGGAAGTAGAATAGGGCTGTATGTGGTCAGACCAATAGACTCTGGATAGTAGCTAATCAAAGAAGTGAAACAGAACCAATAGTACTAAAATACCAGTGTTTATACTAGTACAATAGTAACTGCAAATAGTTATATAAATGAAATAGGATTGTAAGTATTCAGACAAGTAGAATAATCCATGTATGGTCAGACAAGTGGAATGTGGAGTTGCAGATAATCGTGCAAGTAAAATAAGTTGTTAAATAAATAGAATATGGTGGATAGAGTAGATTAAAACAATAGATAAACAAATAAGTGATTAGACAAGTGAAACAGGTAGAACTAGTAGAAGTAGAACTAGTCGGGGTATAATCAGACATACTAATAAATCGGCGTATTTTTTCGATAATTTCTAGCACATACATTAAAATGAAAAGCGTATAAGAATTTAATAGTGAAATATGTTTCCTTCCGCTCGGAATTACAATCTACGAGTCGCTCGAAAGCGCATCTTTAAAGTTGCAAACAGCACGCGTGCCTTTCTAGGCGTGCTATTAATTACGCGCTTCGACAGCGCGGAATTTACGCTGTACATAGCGTAACTTGTTAAAATTTCTCGTTACCGAGTCGTTAAACCGTCCAACGGTAATAATTACTGCAACTTAGAATCCGGCTCTTAGTCTCGACTTCTGTCTTTCGTTTTACGAAAACGTACCAGCGTAAACTAAATGAGATAAAATAGATTATTTATAAAATAAATCATTTTTTTCTTTTTATTTATGTCAAGTAAATTCTACAATATCCATTGCCAGGATATTATCGAATGCATCTGCGAAGGTAGAATCCCGATTGCTTTAATATCGAATCTCAGCTTTCATGGCCATCCTTGGACCGCTTTCACGGTAGTAACATCGACGTTATTACGGTATCGAAAAATGAATCTCGAGATAATAGCGAACGTTGCATCCTATCCTTCGTCGATCCACGTATACGTGGAGGGTTATGAACGAGAGCAATCACACAGCTGAATCGCATTGTTCATTTCAATGAGCCACCCTTTCATTCGACGAAATTTCGCGGATATTGCACGGATTCACGTTAATGCGTGTGAGAAATGTCGCTTCCAAACGTTAATCTCTCTCAATTTCACGCGGTATATTCATTCCATACATTCAGTTGATATCTATTATGTTTTCTGAAATTCTATTCTTCGAATCTCTTCTGCTTTTTAAAAGGAAGTTTTAACTTTGTTTTAAATTATATAACACTGAATTCGTTCCATGTTTTACCAGTAAATTACAATAGAATTTTTTCTGCTATGGAGTTAAAATATTTTTCCATTATAAAAATGATAGATTGAAATTGATTGTGATGTGTCTTTCAATTATATAATTCCCTTCACAGTTTAAATCCAAGAAAAAAAAGTGACAAATAAACAATTATAACAAAAATATATATTAACTATTATTTACGATTAGTTTGAAACGATGAAGTTTTGGTGAAAGGTTGTACAAAGTAATAATCTGATGGTATTATTTGTTGACAGGTTCGATTGTGGTAGTGGGGTAGGCACTGTCAGAAGTACACAAACAGTCAGACTGAACGAATGGAATACTCTAACTGTATACAGGCACCGATGGGACGCCTGGATTCAGCTGAATCAAGAGAAACGCGTGGAAGGAAGATCGAAGGTAAGAATACTTCATCCTTTGACTTAGTCGTTGTACTACCGTGCTCGAAGTTAAAAAGAAACGATTGATTATCGATAAAGTCGAAGACAGATTTCTTGGAACGCCAAGTAAATACTCGACTGTCGATTCTGTTGTATTGAGATTGTCAGGGTTTAATATTAAGGCCATCCTCCTTAATAGATGGTATTGGAAAGGAAACCATAAATTTTCTAAGTTTCTGAGTTTCTAAGTTTCTAAACAGCAGAGTTTCAGAGTTTCTAAATTTCTAATTGAGAAATTACCTAATTTTCTATTTTCTAAATTTCCAAATTTTTCAATTTTCTAATTGCTCGTTTCCCAAATTCTCAAATCTTTGCATTTTCTACTTATTAATTTTTTAATTTTTCAATTTTCTATTCCCCAAACTCCTAAATCTTTTATTTCCTGCTTTTCTAGTTCTTTAATTCTTTAATTTTCTATCAGTCGCTAAAATAAGATCACCAATTACCGAAATTTTCGCTATCATTTATCAAAGAAAATATCTTCTGAGACTGTATAATTTACCGCCCGTTAAACGGGAAGTTTCCCTTTAAAATTCTGGCTCGACTGACGTCTTTGGTAGAGACGAGCAAATCTTTTCACGACTTTCTGTGTACCCTTGCCTCGTTGCACGTCATCGTTATTCACCTGCAATGCAATCCGGCTCACGATACGCGTTTTCCCGGGCCGGCTCGTTATTTTCCAAGGAAATCGTCCGTTTAACGAGCAACACGATTATTGCACACGAATTTCAGCATGTTAATTACCATCTCGTTCACCGGCGACACACTTTCCGTTCGTTTGCTCCCGCTTCGTTTCGATGAAAATCATTTTTACCTTGGAATGATGAAATAAAAAAGGAACGAGAGCTTCGTTGGAAGTGACGGAAATAGAAAGACGAGTTTCTTCGATCGATCGATAATCGATACGACAATTTGTGAGATTGCTCGAACGAATTGATGGATAGCTTCTATTTCACGTCGAACTGAAATTATTCCAGAGAAATTAATGTTCCGTATTAATTTATCAAGTACAGCTGTAAATGGTACAAGCTAACTAAACCTGTTAAGAAAATTCATAAATTTTTAATAAGAGTGATGGTTTTATGAATTTAAAAAATGTATATATTTAATTTGAAGTCTTTTGAATATACGAATATTAAATATTAAAAAATTGAAAATTTAAGATTCAATATAATGTTATAGAATACTATAAAATTATACTAAGCTGTCTTTTCAAATTTGAAAAATAATCTTCTTAGAATGTTCTATGTCATTCTTAGACGTTTCTGTAATAGAAATTTCAACTCTTCGTCACCGTCTAATTCTACTTACATTACTCAATTTCAAATCGATTCCTCTTACTCGATTACATTCCTCCTGGTTATTTCTGATCACGATAGCCTGAACAAAATTACCATTTCGACGTGCTTCGAAATCGTTCTAGATAACATCGCGTTTCGTGGCACAGAATACATTCGCGTGAAAACCCTATGCATTTTCATCCCCCAACGTTTACGAGCCACGGGTCAGACATATAAAGACAGATGGCCAGACGATGAATAGGTGGAACCACGCCCATGAAAAAGAGGAGGCAGACGCATCAAGGGGTTCTGTGTAATCAGTAAAAATGCTGCATTACTTGTTAAAGTTGCACTGTAGTTTGGTGGTGCAAGAAAATCCATTAGTGTGATGTTAATGCCATTCAAAACTTTATGATTTTTTAAGGTTCGAAGTTTCTACCTTACTAATTTTTAAATTTTCTAATTTCCACATTTCCCGTTTTCCTATTTTATAAATATCAATTTTTTAAATTTTCTAATTTCCAAATTTCAGATTTGCAATTTTTTAAGTTTATAAATTTCTAAATCTCCAAGTATATAAATTTTCACGTGCCCAAGTTTCCAAATTTCCAAATTTTCTACTTTTCCAATTTTCCAATTCTGCATCGCTGCATCAGTGGTGAAAGTTGCCCGATAGTTTGTCGGATCGAGGAAATTCATAGTGTCACGTATCGGCTTGTTTATCGATCTCCTCGAACCCCACCGGCACAGGGTGCTAATTTTACCCAAATTTATGGGCGCTGACATAATGAAACTGGGTCGAACGGGTGGCCTGACGTTCGTTGCGTGTACAATTTTATTAAAATTTCTACAACGCTTAGGGAAATGAGATCTGTTGGTTAATTAAAACCTCCTGATCTAATCTTGTGTTTTATCATTGAATACAGTAGGTGTACAATATTTTATTGTACTTAACACGTTGACTACCGTAATGAACATGGACATTTATTATAAGATATATACTGAAATTCTAATTATTAAGAAAAAGAGACAATTAATTCAAAGAGTAAAAAATTTTTTCTGATGTTGAATTTACGAATTACATTGAAAGTAAAGTTTCTATAAATATTCATAGGGAATAAAGTGTCCATGTAAAGTTCAATTTTATTTACATATTTTAAATAGTGAAAAAGATTGAAAATATCAAAGAAAAATATAGTTGATAAGTATACTTTGACATTTCAAATTTTATCAAACTCTAACGAGCTCATTCACGGATAATAAGAGATTCAAACTCTGAAAACTTATGGAAAGATTTTTTTTTCCCTGAACGAGTCGACACGAACAATATTCTACAATTGTTTCACAGAATTTGACCGCGGACGTACTTGGCTGTTTTTAAAGGAGCACTCGAAAGTACTTGTCGACGAAGAAAGTAGTGGCTCTCTCTGTTTCTGCTAAGGCGCCGTACTAACTTCTAACGAAACAATTTGCAAGTCTTATGAGAGCGTCTGAGAGGGAAAGTTTGAGCGAAAAGAAAGAAAGAAACTCTGTATATATACGTGTGAGTTAAAAAGAGAGACTTAGAAAGCAGGTAACTTTTAAAGACTTTTAATTCGACAACAAAATGCGAACCAGCTTGACACTTTAATTTCAAAAAACTTTATTGCAATGTAAAAGACGTGTATAAAAATTGTTCGAGAAAAAGAAGTTCAGGGATGTTGAAGAGCGTGAACGAGCAGCTGAACGCGTCAGAATCACGATAAATATTAAATGAAAGGAATAAATTACAATTTTACGCGTCGCGTTTTTCTAGTTCGCTGCGTTTCACGTTTCTACCATGAGAATTTTCAGCTGTTCGTCACGAAAAGATATTTTTTTTTTATCCCTCCCGTCACGTGACTCTTTCAGATTCGTGTGTCAATTAAAAATGGTCTCGTCGGATACGGTTTTAGTTGATTTCGTGTAACGTTAGTTTTAACGAGACAGTTGTTCGAACAAAACTGAAATTCAAACTTTATCACATTTCGTTCCAATATATGGAACACTTTTTTTTTTTAAACTTTTCAAACTTTATCACATTTCGTTCCAATATGTGGAACACTTTCTTTTTTTTAAACTTTGCAATTAGGAAAATATTCAGTTCTTTTCAAGTATTTTTATAGGTCACTTTCAAGTAGTATAGGTCAATGATATGTCAAAGGCCTCTAAAAATGATTAAAAGTGCAAATATTTAATTTTTCACGGTATTAATATTTGATCAGTGTCATCATAATATTTTTCTCTATTTTATTAAATATGATTACAGTTTGAAAATAATTAGTTCACAAAATTTTCTTAAATAAAATACATTTTTTAACACGAAAGAATATCGAATCTCAGGTCAACGATCGAAGCCCCTCATCCCCGTTGGTGGAACTCGCGAAACAACTGGAAAATCCAACGGATAAAGTGTACAAGCAGGGAATTAATTGCGTATCACGCTTCTCCCCAACGAAACCATAGTACAAAGGGATCAGGAGCTTCCGTTTTAGCTCGATCCACTTCCGTAGAACCTCGAGAAGAAAGCATAAACGAAAGAAACGATAATCAATGGATGGTTTCGAAGACGATCAGTCTGTTTTTCCCTACAGGGCGAGTTTAATTACCTTTAAAATCAGCAGGAGAATAGGTTCGCGAGCTGAGCCGAGGCCACTTTGTTCGGAAGTGCCATTAAGCACTCGGTGTCCTAACGATGGCGTCGTAATTAGAGGAGCCAACCTTCCCTTAACATTCCTGCTTCTTTTCTTTGCCTCTTCTTTCCGACGTTCTTCTTCTTATGTTTCTTCTGCCGCGACATGACTCAAAACAGATGAACCAACCCCTTTTTTACTTTCCCCCGCGTTATACTACGTAACAGGGAAAAGTGTGGTAATTAAAATTTCACCCCTCCTTTCTAACTTCCCTCTGAGGAAAATTTTCAATCTTCTTAATTTTCCTAATTACCTATTTTTCCAACTTTCCTCATTTTCTTAATTTCTCAATTTTCTAACTGTTTAATTTTCCAATTTCAAATTTGGGATTAGAGATTCTGGATATGATACATTTATGTTATCAAGTTTTCCTCAAGAGGAAGGGGTGGCTTATAAGCGAGCATAATTCTTTTTGGAGTAATTTTCTTGTGATACAAAATCATACAAACTGTTCGCTATAGTAGTTTGCAAAATAACCTAAGGGATACATAAAAGTGGTTGTTGAAATGCAAAGAGCGTCGACGACATCGACACGCGCTGGAAATGGCAGCAATTTGTGTGGATTATGCATCTAAGGTGGTTCATATTTGCCTAGTCAACGTCTGAGTGCGACGAGAGTTTGTTGCACCCCCATTTGCTCGAGATTTTGCGTGTATACGCATCGACTATAAACGTGGACCTAGTGGCGCAAATCCTGGCCACCAGTTTCGAAGTTAATGCACTTAAGGGAGTCGCGAAACTTTCAAAGACCCGCGTCGAACCGTCTAGTTCAGCCTGAAAGGTTTCTTCAACCCCCTCTTATGGCGATACTTTTCCTCTGTACAGATTTGAACGAAAAATTATTTCTGTCGAGGAAATTTATTGGTTTCCACCAGACCAGTTTTTTTTAATTTTCTCTAAAAGTTTGTATTTTAAATTAAAGTATCTGGATAGCTTTTGAATAAAAATTAGGAGTAATATTTTATTCTAATAATTTGAAAATAAAAATTTATTTAAGTAAAGTAGTTTTATTATAGATATGATTCATTAATATGAAAATTACAAAGATATTCAAGGTAAAAAGATTAATTATCAGAAAGTACATTTACTCTCATTTTTCAGTCTTTTATCTGAATAAAATATTTAATTCATTAAAATCATAATTCCTGAAAGCAACGAGATATATTTTCCTTTTTCAACTGAATCTTTAGCTTTTCTTTGAGAGTACGTAGAACTACTTTACTTCCTTGAAGAAACATTTTAAAGATACTTTGTTTCTTTAATTAAAAGGGAAACAAGAAATCTTGTTGAACGAGTGACTGGCACGTTTATTCACCGTTAACTTAAAACGAAGAATCCGATTTTTCTTCAAGATTACTTACGAAGTAATGATAACTTGTAATTGACTTTCGAAGTTTAATTTCATTCAATCTCGTGACCGCTTCGTGTAGCTTGTATTCGGCTCGAAACTTCTCCTTAATAATTAACTAGGAATTGAGGCAGTGTTGTTTCGTTTCAAAACAGAAGTTACTGTCGCTAGAAATATCGAGATTCTTGTAAGCGAATTCAAACTTTCGTTAACATTCAATTTATCAGTGCAAGATAATTTCAAGCTTGATTATTTTCGACGGAAGATTAGAGGAATCTGTTTCAAAATAAATTATCATTTCAATGTATTAACAATGGATTAATTTTCAAACATACATTTTTACTAAATATTCTACGCTGCTCAACCTACACGATCAAAAGATGGAGAAAATAATTTCACGTATTTTTCCGCATTCTATACAACACGCGTTTTTCATCAACTTTATATCATCAACGAGATATCACGCGTTCGCAGAAATGAATTTCTCTGCGCGAGCAAATGGCTGCGCTCTCGGTCAGCCCAACATCAAAGAGGAACAGGTTAAATTTGAGTTTCCGAAAGAGCGTGTCTTTTCATAACACAGACCCACGCGAATCTCATTTACGCTGATATTTAGAGGATTTCCGTGTCTCGACGTTAATCGTGGCTCGTTTCGCTGCCGTTGCACATTAACCCTAGAAAGACCCACCCTTGTACCCAGTCATTCATTTCTAATTCTCCTTTTTTAATAACAGTTTTATTCAACCAAAATCACTTATTCGTTGTTGATTTTGAATAATAATTAAAATGAAATAATACAAAGCAGATAAGCCATTTTAATTTTTCTTAACCCTTATCCAAAGGATTAAATCGAATTAATTTGTACACCTAATAGATGGATGATTTTAATTAAGAAAGGTAGAATAATTTTAACCAGTGAGTTCGACGAACTCTCCTTTAGTCTTTCTAGGATTAATTCGCAGCCTTCGTTGAAGCTTCTCCCCGGATGTTTTCGTAATAGACCACCCCGCATACCCTTCCTTCGATCAAAAGATTCGTCGAGTCGGATCAGACGAATCTGGCTAAAGTTCCGTTCAAGTTTTCGTAACTTTTTGCCGGCAGGGAAACATATCGATCCTTCGAACTTTATACAATTACGAACAGCCTATTGGGAAGTTGGTTCGTTGGAAGTCATTTTGCTGATACGTTTTGTCAGGTTTAATGGGGAAAGCTTGTTACCGGGACGGGACGATTAGTTAGAAATCTGTGATAACTTTGAAAAAGTAGAAAATTACAAAAATGAATACACAGAACAAATAGAAAGGAAATTAAATAACAATTGATAGAGATCGAAACAGCGGTTGTGGTAGAAACTATTTTGCGAAAGAAAAAATATTTTTCCACCTATTAGAATGAAATATTAAATCGCTATCACGGTGCAAAAACGTTTAGTTGTGGTCGTGCGAAAACCACTCGTACAACGTCTCTTTCATAAACTCGTTTCGGTTTTTTCCTCGACTACTTCGTTATTGTCCCGCAAAAAAAGAAAAAAAGAAAAAGAATTAAAGCAGCTGGGAAACGTAGTGCTAGTTATTCTCTGACCCGTTACAGAGTCGAGAAAATTAGATGCTCAAGAAACGTGCTTTGTATACTAGCTTCCTTACAACCCTCTTCTGCAGTTGTTAGTGAAAAATGATGATATCAGTTTCGTTGTTGCAATTTTATCGATAAAATATTATAAGAAAAGAAATTCAAGTAAAAAAAAATCTATCATGGAGAATGATTATAACTATTTTTATTAATGAAAGGGTTGAGTGGGCATCTTTTCAGGGGGTGGTAACTCGGGCAAATCTAAACAAGTAATTAATATTTACTCGAGATAAATTTGAAAATTTGACAACAAAGATCGAGCCAAGAAAATTGGCAAAATTTCCGGAAGTGTATTCGTTTCGTAAAGTTCGTACGAACGCAATCAAACTTAGCGAGATAGAGGCTTTCGTATAATAGATCGTCGTGAATTATAACAGCTTTTCACGGTTGCATAAATCGGACTGTTCTGAATCTGATTTCAGGGCTTGTTTGCGAGGATTACCTTCCGCGAACCGCTGTTCGTCGGCGGGCCCGGAAACACAACTGGTCTCGACCGGCTTCCGGTGAGAACCGGATTTAAGGGTTGCGTCCGGCATCTGGAAGCCAATGAACACCGCTATCGTTTCCCTCTTGCACCGCAGGGTGACGCTGCCAATGGTTTCGACGTTGGTGAGTACAATTCGTTAATTAATTATTATTCTCGTAGGAAGTAACCTCTTTACTCGACCTACAATCTTTCTTTAAATGAAAAAATATACATTACCGTAAATTTCTTCGTTGGAAAGATTTTGAATACTAAACGAATTTTTCAAATATTATGAAGTGGTAATCTACGTTCTCAATGCATCTTTGTTATAACAAAATAAATTTTTTAAGTGTAATATTAAAAACTGCAAAAAGGGTGTTTATGAAGAAAAATTTATTTTATTTGGTTTTCAAAAATTCAAATAGATCGGTGTTACAATTATTGACCATTATAAATCTGATAGAAAATGGTAAGACACGTGACAGGTGAAAATAAAGTACAGATTAAAAGTTGCCGCGTTTCCGTTATCTTGAAACGGCAAGAAACGGGCCGATACCGTTCTATGGACTTCCAAATCTCCATTGAAAGTCTGAAGGAGATACGTGTAATCCCCTGAAGCGTAACCTCTCGGGAGATAGCCTTTAAAGCTGTTCTCGGTTTCTGTCCAGACGATAGACGTCCGACCACTCCGTCACACACATCTCCATTCTCGGCCAGAATGCACAATACATCAAAGGAGCACATTCTTAGGACCAATGCATTTTTTGGTCCTCAACCGACCGTCTTTCCTCTTTTCTCCTCACGGAGAAAGACGAGCTACGCGGTCGAAAAAAGAGGGTAAAAGGAAATGGTTCAGATGATATCAAAGCAAATCGCCTGTACGTCTCCACTCGTCGCGAATATTCTCTCTTTTGAAGCATTCGTGTTCCTTGCTTCCCATTCTTCGGATAAGTAAATTATTTTCTCTCGGTAGAAAAAGTGCTCGAGTTAAAAATAATTACTTGGAGCTTCGAGAAATATTGTTTTTCATTTTGTTAATGACTTTCATTTTTATATTATTATAGAAATAGTATTTAAGTATTGATACAATGATTTTTTCTAATAATTTTCAAATCATTATTAAGAGTCAAAGTATTAATTATCTATTAATTCTATCGATTGAAATTTGTTACCATATGTAATCGGAACTCAAAATGTAATTTCAAATTTTGGATTTAGAAAGTAAAAATGTCCACGGAATAACGTGGAAACGTAATACACTCAAATCGTTTCACATTATTGACCCATACGGGATCGTGATTCCAGTGGGCCAACAATTGCGGGGATAAAATATTACGCACCATAATTAGGTACTTCAAAGTTACATTTTCGTTCGGATGGAGGAAGCCACGTTATATTGGCTGCTCGAATTAACAGCTATGTAGCCAACACACAACAGGTGTCACATAAATTTAGTTAGAAAAGCTTCATTGTATTCGATGTACCAGGAAATATCATCTTCCTGAAATTTCAATTTTCACCCCCGTTGAATGAAATTACAATCATACCATAATGTATAAAATAATGTTATTAGAAAAATATTTGTGCACAAGTGTAAATGTGCAAATAATAATTGTACAATTACAAAGTAACTCTTAAAGAAGAAAAGGCTCGAATTTCTTTGTTCTTTCCAAACGATTGATCAACGTAACACCAAGATATCGAACAGTGTAGATGTATAGATCGAAATGCATCGGCTTAAATTCAACTGGAAAGTGCACTTTTGCGCCGGCTAATTAGTTAACGATCAAAGTCGTGACGAGAGGGTATCGAGCGCGTCGTCGCGTTAATTATCAAGTGTTAATCAATTACCGTGGCAGCGTCATCGTGCCACGCCATGTCGAGATTCCTTCGACAAACAAACTGAATGGCCCTGTCATTGCACCCTCTTTTTTGCACGAAATAAACTCGAAACGATAGGTCCATTATCGAAGGAAGAGTAATTATCACGAGGATCGTGTTTATAACGTGACTCGACACTTTATTCGATTCTCGATATTTTGTAGTCGAACGGTATGGGAAAAACAATTATGAGAACGCAATAACGAATAATGAGATTCTCATTTTCAATTTTTCATTTATTATGTAAATTTACGAATTTTGTGAAGGATTTTCAAATATTTTACAGTAGATATTTTCCATTTTTCAATAAACTCTCGCTATATTGCCACTCTTTACATTACATTCAAATCATAAGCAGTCTACCATTTATAAAACAAAGAAATTAGTATGCAATAGCAGTTTCCTTCTGAACGATTCCGTTTCAAGCTGTTTCAAAACTTTAACAAGGGAGTTAAGAAGGAAAGAAGTCGCTGAAACAGAAACGGAAACGGAAATGCATGAAAGAAGGAAATGGAAGAAACTTCTCTAACCGCATTCGTTAAAACAAAAAAATCAAGTTTCGAAGCAGAAGACCATGAAATTCTAAAGAAATACTTTGTCAGGTGATTCTGAAATAAAATCTTAAATTATTTTCTCGTATCTTAAGGCCACACTTCTCATTTGAGGACATCAATTAGAAGATTTCTAAAATTGTTGCAAAGTGAATTTTAAAAGTATTTCTTATAATAATAATTTTATTATTCAGTCAATCTTTTTAAAAGATTAAGATTTTTCATGACACAATCTTTATCAAATTTCGCAGTGGACTAATTAAGTTACTTTTATTAGGTTTATAATAAATTTATAATATTTTCTTTCTAAACGAAAGTAGTTATTTCTGACGAGGACAAGGGGTTGGTGAACTCACCGCCAACCGAGATCACTTCGATCGAAGTTTCCCAATTTACTCGTTGCTTTTTTCCTCTATTTCTTTCCTGCCAAACGAAATTCCCTATGCATTAGCGAGCGTGGAGGAATGAACGTAGACTTTGTGAGTTTCGAGACGTGATACGTTATCGGCTGAAGCACGCATTAAATTTTCGACGATGCTGGAACTTTTTTCCAAAAAAAGTTGTGATCCACTTGTAAAACGAATGAAAGGTCGACTAATCAAACCTTAAAACGCGTGGAAAAAGATTCTTTATGAAATTGATAGAGCTTATTTTTAAATCCCTCGTCATGGTTATTATAAAAAGGCGAAAAGGTCATAGCTTATTTTTAAACATTAATTGCCGTGGATCACTGGCGATTTATCCTTTCAATTTTGTATAATTAAAAAAAATAATAAAACGCAAATGTTGAATGGCGTTAGTATTACAATATTTTTCAATGGAATATTAATTTTTAATCTTTTTTATAAAATATTTAAAATTCATGAAAGTGAAAAATGGAATCTTTGCACGGTTTTTTCGTCCCTGAACAGAAGAGACATTTTTTCAAATTCAAGTACATTGAGTTAGAGTATATTCGAAACTGAAAAAAGAAGTCGACGTCAGACATTCGCATTATGTCCCTTGCGAGCATCAACAAGAACTCCTGGCGAAAGTTTCAGGATGTTATTAAGAAAAGTTGCGAAGACAAAGGAGGACGCGTTCGAGGAGATGAAAAAAAGTAACTCCCGAGGAATTCTTGGCCGGTCTAGATTTAACTAGATTCACGAGGGAGCAGGTGAAAAGCAACTTTCCCGTTGCTTTCGAAAGAGAAGAAGTATTTCGAGCTAGCTTACGTTCGCACATATTGATCGCCACTTTAAAGGAGAACCGAGTCGAACAGCCTACTTGCGATAAGAACTTAACTTCAATTTAGGTGAAATTGGATTCGTTAGAAAGTAATTGCTTCTTGAAAATTTTTCTATCAGAAGAATATCTACTTTTTCTATCAGTTGCGTTTATAACACAAATTTTATACTTTCAATCGATTAAGGATCAAATTGCAATATCTTATCTTTTTTAGCAAATTTGGATTAATGAATTTGATAATAATTTTTCCATTAGATCGCTATTTAAAAATTTGCAATTATACCATAGGTATATTATAATTTTCTTATTATTATATTTTTAATTCACAAATTTTCTATTTGAATACAAAAATTCACCAATTTTTAACGTTTTATTTTTGCTCGATCACGCGAACCACCATAGAGGGTGTTCATTTTGATCGATATCCCTTCGCTAACATACTCGACTATGTATCAACTAAATTCTCCTGGCAGTGGGACGAAAAAAGCATCGACAAAGCTTCGGATAAAATCAATAATGCAGCGAGAACGTCGGCGCCTTTTCAACCGTGGTCCGATCGAGAAATCGACGAGCGTGGCATCGATCTTTTCGAGAGGTACGCGTTCAAACCACCTCCGACCCACTCCATCTCCAGCGTGAAAAAGAAAAGAAATTCCTTTTTCGTTCGTCAGAAATTTCCGATAGAGCCGAGCGACCACGGCGGAAGATAATTTCGCAGATATCCCGCTTGCTTTCCGGCCGTCGCAATAGCCGGAGAGTGCGTGTTACGAAAGCTCTCGTATTTTCCTCAAATATTCACACTATTCCTCGAATACTGGATTAAAAATAAAAAATCAATCTACGATTCTTGATTGGATAGTTCGTCATAATTTTAGACAAATTTCATGAAGCATTTGTTGAACTCTGTGATTTTTTAGAGTGCTCTGAAATTATAATTTTAAGCCTGAATAAATAAACCGAAATCAAATCATAAAAATTGTTCGTTTGATTTTTGAAAATTTTTTGATATGAATTAATTAGACTTTAATTTGTTATGATTACAGAAGAATGCACGGCGGATAGATGCAGCAAGGTGCCCTGTTCCCATGGCGGGAAATGCTTGACCACCGGAGGCGACACGGCTGTCTGCCTCTGTCCTCTCGGATACACAGGCGACCTTTGCGAGACCAGGGTAGATTTACAGGTAAATATTCGACGGTTTAATGAATATGAAGAGAGTTTTTGATTGCGAGCTTTTTTTGAAATTAATTTGATCTCCGCATTGTTGGCTAACGATGCAATTTTATAATACTTGAGGTTTGATAAAATTAATTATTGTGTTGATAGATGGGTAGAATATTTTTATAAGAAAGAATACTTTTTCATCGAATTTTTAACCATTTATTTTTGCTATTTCTATTTTAAATTCAGAGTCTTAATAATTACTAAAATTCGAAATTTCCATGAAAATATAGAAACATAATTTTTAACAAATTTATAATAATTTTCAAAGTAGCATTAAAACTTGTACAGCAACGTTATCTGAAAATGAAATTAGCGTTTATACGCTATAATGGATTTCTATTTAAATTTTGAACAAAGGAAACTATTTCCGTGGATGTCGACGAACAATTAACTAGTGCGTCTGCGACTTGAAATAAACGTTCGAAACGCTGTCGATTAATTAAATCTTGACTGAACGGCGTAGCGTTTCGCCGCAAACTTTACATTTAACCCTTCACCGCAGGGTGAAAAGGCCGTTTGCAGTGTGCACGGGCTTTTGAAGTCGCCTCTGACAACGCTTTCAGAAAATTCGATTGAATTCGTCGACGGGTGTATATTAAATGGATTTAAAGGGGAGGCAATCGGAGCTTCGAGTTTCAGTTTCGAGTGACACTTGTTCGCTCACCTCTTTCCTACCTATTTAGGAAATCAATTGAAACGAACTTACAGTTCATGGGATGCGTAGAGGATCCTTTTGAACCTAGTATTCCTGTTCACCTATTTTTCAGATAAAATTTTGAAGTGGCCAAAGAGAATAATAGAAAACATATCTTCAAAAGAGAATGATGGGTTGTTTGAAAAAGTTCTCCAAAATAAATATAATTTTAATTTAACAATTATGACGAAAAATGGTTGTTAATGAATTATTAGGAATAATTATTCATCATTTTCTGAATGTAAGTCGATAACCATATGGTAACACTATGCATTTAGGGATTAAATGAACTTTTTTATTATCACAGTAGTAATACCTATGACTAGTCAGACATGTGATAATAAAGACTATGAAGAATACTAAACCCTTAAATTTTGAATATAATCTTTATTTTATCAACTATTTAACTTAATTAAATTTTATATTAAAAATTTCAGTCTCCATAATGTATCATTTTTGAAACGATAAAATGCTTGTAATATAATCTCCTATTTAATAAGCAATAATCAAATATATCATTTAACTCAATTTTCCGCAAAATTCGTCGCATCGAAGTCTCGAAGCGTTGAGCAAACATTCCGAGCGTATCGAAAGCGGAAACGCGGAACTGGTTTCCGGGAATATTTTACATCGAGTTAACGGGACGGTCGCAATTTTCCTGCATTTCATGGCAAAAAATTTTCCACCTGAATTCTTCTACCCTCTCTAATTCTTTTTTTCTATTCCGCTCTTTGGAAAATTTGAACGCGGAACCCGGGCATAATGCCGATCAATTTGTTCTCTCATCCGCAGACGGCACTTCATGTGCGTACGCGTGTATGCGCCGATGGATTATAAACGACTATACGTTGATATATCGATTATTATAACAATGGAGCTGCACTTGATAAAATGTGCTATCAGCTTGTCGGTGATATTACTTGGAAGACACTCTAGCTGGGGTGTTGAGGACAGCAAAAAAGGGGTGCTCTGCGTAGAATATTGAAAATACAGGAATTTCTTGCTGTACACGGTCTGTTTTTATAACACAACGAAAGATAGGTAATTTACGGAGAAAATAAATTGAAAATGTAGAATGATATTTTTGTGTCAACCCTTCTGTTATAATGGTAGATAGATGGCTTTAAAATCTTGTGCGCACTAATTCTCTTTCAGTTTCTTTCATCGAAAGATTCTTTCTTTTTTATCAAGTTCTTTTTTCCTTACAATCTTTTTTCTGTAATCTTTATTCGTCCTTGTACTACTTCATTATCCGGTTTGTTATTTCCTCTATCTTAGAACCAGTTCTTGTTCCTTCTTGAAATTTCTTCTTCTTTTTCCCTCTTCTTCTTATTTTATTCCCCTCTCCGCGAGCATCATGAATCATAAAAGTTTCCCTTATCCGTATCTTCATCTTTATCCCCATTTTCATCGAGCTGTTCCTTCGGCAACAACCGCGAGAGATAAGAGAATATCCGTTTCTAGCAACGTAGTTGCTTGGATCGTAAGAAAGAAGGAGAATAGTAGCTGGAGAACGATTTTTATGAACGATGAAAACTTGTTAGACTAGTTTCCTTCGGTGAAAGATTGAATTAAACATAAATAATCTAGCGTAATTAATATTACATCGTCTACATAAACACTGCCTTTTTTTCATCAAAGAAATTAAAGTTACAAATAAAACGACCCCTTAAAATAAAAAATTATATATTTTTATTTCATTGGAATATTCAACTCTGAAAAATACATTCTAGGAAACTTTTTTTTAGTTATTTCAATTATTCATTCCATCAAAGAAATAATTCCGGCTACGTGTAGCGATAGATAAATAATTCTTATGAAGATATAACGCGTTGTATATCCATGTCAGCAAACTGTTTGCCCGGGAAGCGATCATTTCGTTCGGTAACTATGTCGTTTCACAAATCGACCTAGATAAGAAGAGAAAAATAACGTGGCCAACCGGCTGTTGGAAATAATGTCGTTGCCAGACGACTTGGTGAAGAGGAGAATCCGCGAAGGAAGACCTTTAGCGAACTCTGAACCATTGATTTTTCTCGCTATCCCAATGAAACATTGCCCGATTTACGGTATTTTCTCGTCTAAAACGCTTTTACGTGATCGGTCTACGTATTATTTCTGACGAATGAAGTACCTTTTGTGAAGCAATTCTTTGAAATAATGATATTTCTGTAGAAAAGGGTGGCAGAAATTATATGGTGGAACATGGGTTTGAATAGGTACTGTGTTGATCTTTGCGAGATTGAGTTTAACGTAGGCTTTAATTGAAAAGGGATGGTATTATGGAGGATTGATGTTGCTTTACTAGTTAAGATTGGTTAAATATTTGGGAGTATGTTGCAAATCTATGGGGTAAAATAGGATTTTAAGAAATAGAAAGTATTATTTTAATTAGAATGGTTGAAGTTTGGAATACTAAAACTTAAAAATAGTAAAGCTTAGAATACTAAAATTTATAATACTAGAGCTTTGAATACTAAAACTTAGGAGTACTAATGCTAGAAGAAATACTTTTCTCTATCTGAGACGAAGAATGATCTATCTTCCAAAAAGTAAATTTCCCAAGGAAAGTCTACAATCATGATAACCATGGTCGATGGATTTTCTGCTTTCAGGTACCGTCATTCAACGGGTCTTCTTATCTTCGGTATCCTGGATTGGCCGACACTTCGCTATCTTGGCTGGAATTGGCTGTCACGTTGAAACCGACCACCTCAGATGGTGTTATTCTTTACAACGGCCATCATAGCGATGCAACCGGTGATTTCATTGCGTTGTACCTTTCTTCAGGACACGTGCAGTTCACTTTTGACCTGGGAACAGGACCCGCCACTTTAAGGTAAGTCGATTGTCAACGTTCCATTCAATTTCCTTCGGTTTTCATCGGCTTCTAATTAATTTGTTGGCGTGAACAAGACGAAAGGATATTGTAATTTGATCAGGACTATGCGTGCATGTAAACAGAGTGTGTCATGGTTATTACAGACCCCTTATTTTTTAAATTAGGCGGTGAGTTTCAATTTTTTGAAGATGGTTGTTTAATAGGACTCTTTTCCAGGGTGGGCCAACTTCACAGAATTTTAGAATATTAATATTTTGTAATATAAGCATATTAAAATCTCAAAATTTTAGAAATTTCAAATTTTAAACCCTCAGAATCTTAGGAATTTAGAACCTTAAGGTCTTAGAATTTTAGAATTTTGCTCCTTCTAATTACGCCACTGATAATATTTCAATTAACTCCGTCAAATTTTTGGAATTTATGTTAATAACAAGATTAACTTCATAAAAAGGAAATTACATGAGATTATCAGGAATCGTGGTTTAAGCAAGACACCATTCATTATATCACTTGTAACTGTGGTGTGTAACGAGTTTATACGCGATACGATCGATTAACGAAGCCCGACGCCCGGCGTCGAAAGAACCGACCGATCGTTTAATCCATCCTATCGCCTGGTAACGATGTATCGACGTCGATCGGCCTCATTGCGAATTAACCCTTTGAATATTCATGAAGAGAAATCAGTGCGCTCAAGGCATCTCTATAGATCGAACACGAACGTTCTAATCAGATTCCCTAATTTTTACTGTTTTTATTATGGGAATTAAACCCTTGACTGGTGGCAATCTCTGCATATTAGCTGGAAAATCAAACGAATAACAATTCAGAATATTTTCATTCACAGTAGACTAATCCTTTTAATTTCCATTTTCCATTTTATTGATATTATAAATTTGCAATCTTCCATTCTCTATAATTAAAGGGTTGGAGAAATATTGGCAGTGTAAATTTTATTTGAATAATTATATTTTTTTCAAACATTTTATTTAGTAAAATTACGTTTAAATATTATTTTTGATTTTTTGCTGGAAAATCGTCGATTGTGAAACGAGAAAACACGTCGAATCGTTTCCTACGAATACAATGTGTTTCACGCGGTTCATTTGTAACAGCGTGCAATTGGCAATATAAATAGAGGAAAATAACGAAGCAAAGGCATTAAAAATCTCGGAAACGGGTACAGTGGCAGCAAGTGAATGGTACTTGGGCGGTAATGGTAACTCGAACCGTGTAAAATGGGACGAGGCGTGAAAGAATGGAAAAAGATATAGAAACTAGAGGGTGGTAATTGCGAGAGAACGTCGAATGCGAGCAGATTTCAGTGGAAAGAATGAAGATAGAGGGACGAAGATTCGCACTGTCTCTTTGCATTATGAAAACACGAGCCTCCATTAGTATAAAAGCAGCGCAGCTACCCTTTTGTCCATTTCATGGAAATAATAGAACGAAAGCAGTTCTCAGCCGTAATTTCTTTCCAAATAATTGCTTCATTGTTAACATTCTTTTTATATGAGCCTTAAAATTCATCATTGATCGTTCATTGATTTTCCAAATTTAAATAACAGAAAAATAGGAAAATTCTAATTTAATGGTATTCTAAATTATAATTATAATTATTTTACTATTTTTTCTTGAATTGTTGGTTTACAGGGTTCAATATAAATTACTTCCAGTATAAAATTTTTTATAAAAAGATACAAGAAACACGAAACAAATATTGGAGTATAAATTGGCTGTCCGATCGATTTTTCGATAATCGAATTATAATTTATCAGAAACTGTAATTGCTCGGGGCAGCGCGACGAACCAACAGGAAACACGTTGTTTCGCGTAGTAAAAACATTTTCCCGTTATTTAAGCTCGATTCATTTAACCGGGGTGATCCGACAGTGGGTTTTTACTTTGGAAGGGAAAAGCAAACATCGTTCTGTTTTACATACGCAACCGAACGAACGATGTTTGCTCGCTTTATGAAACCCTTCGATAAGCGTCCTTTTTATCCCCGACTCGATCTTTCAACGTAGCGACCATCTCGACGAAATAATATCCGTGGGCAAACTTCGTTTCGCATTCGTTATGTTGGCCGACGAACCAGCCTCCATCATTATTTTCACCCCTTACGACTCCTCTAATCTTCAATATTCTCTCTCGAAACTTCGAGCCTCGATATTAACCGAGGGACAGCTGTAAAAATCTCGACGAGTTTCAATCAGAGATTCTCTGTCCTAGCTCTTTCTGACACTTGTAAATATTAATCAGCTAGCAATCAGGTTGAATCGTTTCGAAGGATTGTACAGGGTATTTGATTTATAGATCTCATTTTTTAATTACATTAATTGGTTCTTCATTTATTTTTTAAATAGGTAATAGAAAAATTCTAATTTACAAACTTTCATGTTACACATTTAATATCAAATATATAAACTTCTTATTTGTAATAGCTAATATAAAAAGCATATTTCTCTTTTTAATCTTTTTTTTTTCGTTGGTCAATAGTGTTTGATAAATGATAAATTTCCTGTATGCTCGGTCTAATTAGTACGAAATTGATTTGACCAGCTAAGTTAATAAATACAGTTAATCAGCGCAAATGTTTGATGGGAAATTTTACGTTATACAATGTAAATTGAAGCTTAAATGAAATAAAATTGATAGATACGTATATATGTTTCGATTGGTGTTAAATTATATTGAAAATTCAAACACGCAACTTTTCATTAATATTAAATTTATTGAAATTGATACATTAACCGTGATATTTTTCAACCACAGAAAAAACATTTCACTCTTTCATATGCAGTCATGAATTAATTAAAATATATTAATTTGTGCATTCAATCATAAATACAGATACGAAGTCTGTAAGTAAGCAATTAAATATTTTATGATTTCCCATAATTACCGTGAGTCATCAGTGACTCACGCAGCAGGAAGGACATTAAATATTCATCTTAAATCATCTTTTCACAAAGTTTCCCCTATTTCATTCGCAAAACTCGGAACATCTGTTGTGCCTCTTTTGTAGGATCGATATTACAACGACAATGTCGTGCGATTAATAACTCACCTACTGTTCCTCATCGACCACACCCCTTCGAACTTACGAGTTTACGATTCTCCAGGTCGTTATGGGACGAGTACGATCCTTTTTCCACCCTTCCCGATATGTAGCCACTTAGAGCAGCGAAATACGTGGAAGTGAGGTACTCAGAAAGTTCTACGAATTATGGTCTAAACGTTCTCCTTCGTAGTTGGGTCAATAAACTTCTACGAATTTGTAGAATCGGCATAAAACATAGGAAGTGTTCCTTTAATCTTGCAATTTTTTAGGGGTTTTCGATTTAATGTGTTCCAGGCGATAACACGTAATTAGGTATTTAGCGCTCGCTACTAAAACTTGGAATACTAAAGCTTAGGAGTATTGAAGCTTGGAATATTAAAGCTTAGAAATACTAAAGATTAGGATTACCAAGCCTTGAAATACTGAAGCTTTGAAGTATCTAAGCTGAGAATACTAAAACTTAGGAGTATTAAAACTTGGAACATTAAAGCGCGAAATACTAAAGCTTGGAACATTAAAGCGCGAAATACTAAAGCTTGGAACATTAAAGCTTAGAAAATTTTTCAAAAAATTCATACGAATCCTTTTTCGAAAGGAAACCGATGGTTGCCGGTTTTTCATATATATTTTTTATGGCCAAGGTAGCACAGCAATGTACAACACGTACGCAACATTTTATCTATTTCGTAGCAAACTTTTTTCCTCTCCTTCGGCGCACATAGGAAATTACAGGGAAGAAGTTTCCTCGACTTTTTGAACACCCCACGAGTAAACTTCATTCGTATTCACGACGTTCGACCGGAATCACGGCGACGAGACTCCATTCTACGTGGTTTTTCCTCGATATATAGATTGCTGCAACCCCCGGTCGAGGTTTTATTGTGACCGAGAGCTAGCTACGCCAGGGCTTTTCTTTCCGCTCTAAGTAAGAGCACCGAAAGTCCTCTCCCTCGGAGCCAGGAAATGTTCGAGCAAAGAGATTCTTGCGTTAATATCGGGGAGATCAGCCGCGACGTCGGCGACGAACGGCTTTCCGATATGATTGGACGAGGAGTTATGAGGAAACTTTTGTAAGCCTGTAAGAAAATTCACCTTTGCAACAAATGAAACGATTAAAATTTTAGAAGAATTTATAGTCGGATAATTATTACCTCTATGCTTTAATATGTATAATCAGATAAATAGAATAATCCGAGGATGTGGTGAAACGAATGATATAGCGGTGGTATGTGGTTAGGCAAACGTAATAGGGTAGATACTCTAACGAAAGAGGAACAGTAAGTGGTCAGACAAATTTGTCTGTGCAATTATATAGGAAGCGCGTATGGTTAGGTAAGTAGAATAAGCCTGGTAGGTAGTCAGACAAATGAAAAGGGATGGTAGACAAATACAGTATAAGTACATGGTTAGAGAAACGGAATAAGGGTGGGGTTGTATAGATAGAATAAACCTGTTGTATGGTTAGGCAAATAAAATATAGGGTGTGTGTAACTAGACAAGTGCAATCTGATGGATATGTGATTAGATAAGTAGTATAGGAACAGTGCAGGATCAGACAAGTAGAATGAGTCAAATATTAGTCAGATATGTAAAAGAGTGGTAATATGTGACAAGTGTAATTCATAAGGCAAGTGGCATAGACCAATATATGCTCAGACATATGAACTCACAATAACATATGATCCCCATAGAATTAAGTGACAGTCAAAATTTTAACCCTTTGCCTTACAATTTGTTTCCGTCCACTAGACCAATTTAATTCTACCATCAACCCTGACATAATATCCATTAAGATATCCAAAGTAATATAATATCAATTAATTCACCATCCGAAAGCAATTATTGTTTTCAGCATCGTTACACCCGAATCATTTAAATTCGAACACCGGAGCAGCTTTCTTCGATTCAACTAAAACTCATCCATTTTCACCCCTTCGCGTATTCTTAATTGCTCCTCCCTTAACGAGCAAAGTTTCTTTGAAATAAGACGCGCATTTAAATACACAAGTTGTTCAATGATTCGTGCAATGTTTCTCTGCTTGTATCATTTTTTCTCGAACCACGAAGAATGGAAATATAGGGGAAGCAGGAATTATCTAAACCCTAATTTTGACGATATTAATATTAAAAGTAATTTAGGAAAGAAAATAATATAATTTTTAATTATTAAATGTTATAAAATTTAGTACATAACTGAAAAATACACAACAAATTAAATATCAATTCAAATTTTCCCGCGTATACGTTTACACGCTAAGTGGTGGTCCGCCGCTGGCCTATATATAGGGGCCCTGCCTCTGCACTATGGCATTCTCCCCACGGACGCCGAAGGGGAAGCATGGGAGCAGGGGTATCGGCATTTTTCCTCGGGAAATCTGATTTGATCGCGAGTGTATATGCAATTACAGAAGATTGAAATCCCGAGAACTCGCACGCGTTTTCCTCGCGTGTTCGGCGAACACGAAACACTTGGTACAATAGACTGGAAATTGCTTGAAACCCGATCCGAGATGAAAGCGGAGCGGATTCGCGCGGTTAGATTTAATATCACCGAGCGACAAACGTCTCTATCAGGGAGGAATTTACGCGACGATTCGTTAAGACCCGTCTGTTCGTATGATTTTCCAAATAAAAAAAAACTCTGACGCGGTATTAAAAGTTATCTAGAGATAATGCTGCAATCCCGTAAAAAATGATGCTTGAAAGATGGAAGAAGCATTTATCTGTTCCTTTTAAAACGACAGCAGGGGAGGAGAAAGATTTTAAGATAATTCTACTAAATGAGCTTTGGTTCATCCTGGAATCTGAAAGATTAAAGTTTGCAGATGCATTATTATGCACTCTTATCGAAAATAAAGAGAGATCGTTGAATAAAATAGTATAGGATCCGGTAAAAATGAAAATAATTTACAAAATGTTTTATAATTGATTCAGTACCTATAACCATAATACTGAACTCAGTAAACTCGAAGAAAAATATTTGCTCTGAAAATTGAATAATAAGAGTGAATGAAAAATTCAATAATTATTTATTAACCTGTTAACTGAAGATTTTCGTTTCTCTTGAGTACGTCTGATATACGAATAAAATAAACGTGAGTAGGTTTGTCAAATACAAAGACAATTTGTTTCCCAAAAATTGTATTTAAAGAAATGGAAGAATTTCAGATTGAACATTTTTTTATTGGAAAATGGAGGGAATGTGAATTTTACAAATAAAAGCATTTTCCTCGGCATTGTTCCCAGCATTTCTCGATATTTTACTACAACGGTATTGATTGTCTGTTATAGAAGCGAGAACCCTGTCAGACTTGGTGAATGGGTGGAAGTGCGAGTGTCGAGAACTGGACGTTTGGCCTCGCTGGAGGTGGAGGATGATCCTCCGCAGGAGATCCTGGCGCCAGGCGCCTTTACGCAGCTGTCTTTGCCACTAAATCTCTATCTCGGTGGTGCACCATCCACAGACATGTACTCGCCGAAAATGAAAACTACTGTTAGCTTCGTAGGCTGTATCCAGACGGTCATTTTAAATCGCCGAGAGGTGAGAATTCTTCTAATTTCTAAATTTAATTACCATTTTACTGAATTAATAAATGAAAACTAATTTGCTTCGTGGTATTTCTGAAAGTAAACTACAACATAAACTATTTCTTTTTATTTCTATTAAACATAGAAGAATCGGAAATGTGTGGGACTTTTTGACAACGATAATATGAAATTGAAAGGGAATATAAACCAAATTTTTTATCCTTTTCATACGATTTTAAAATTGTAATAGAAAAGGGATTTGAAACATCGATATGGTATTTTATTTATTTTAATACTTTGCTTCGATACATGGAAAACAGTATTGTGTATAAATCTTGCGTGCATGACAGGTGGAAAATCGTGAAATCCGTAGTGAAATAAAGCGTGTTTTATTATCGCAGAAATTCTGTTCGCGACGGATGAAATAAAATATCAGGAGTAACGTTCGAAATGAAAATGAATACGCGGGAACAGGTTATCGTGAAAGTTAGCTAATTAATCTGGCGAGCTTTGAAACAACTCGATTTCGTAGGGAAAATAAATTGTGTTCATTTTTTTTGTACGAAATGCAAAAAAAATGGTGCAGACAAAATTAAAATTTAAGGTGCGTTGAAAACAATTCAATTATAAAGAAACGACGTTGTACGTACCATTGTGAGTACTCGTACTATACCCCTACCTCTTTCGTACATATTTTCCAAATGGTACCATTTTTTTATTTTATAACCCATTCTCTACCGTTGTTTCTTCCTTTCGTCTATGTAGCCCAACAACGCATACATATTTCCACATCCTAACTTCGCGACATGACTTCCGGCTGTTTTTCCATCTTAATACCTCAGGATTTTAGCATTTGGTATTCTTTTGTACCTTAGTACTCATTGTCAATACTTTAGTATCTTGGTAATTTGGTACCTTGGTAACTTGGTACCTTGATAATTTACTACCATAGTGATATGGTACCATAGTAATTCGCTACAATAGTAATTTGATACCATAGTAATTCGATACTATAGTAATTGGATATCATGACAATTCGGCACCTTGGTAATTTAGTACCTTAGTATTTTTATAGCATCCATAAGTAATACCGAAGTGGATCACCCAGAATCTCAATCCCGAACTCTAAATATCCAATCACGAGATATAGTATACTCTCCTGAGGCATTAAATAAACAAGTCACTGGAATATTTCCTACCAACAGATCGGAATACTTGCGGAGGCTTTGGGTGGAGTGAACGTCGGTAATTGCGGGCATGCCTGCGAGGCGAGGCCTTGCGGAGACGCAGAATGTCGTCCTCTTCGAGATCGCTTCACCTGTCGCTGTCGACCCGGTATGCCTCATCCTTGTCCAGCACCGGATGACAACACTATCTTAGATGATTCTTTAACAAAACCGAACGTGGGGACGCGATACGAAAGATCTGTTCCAAGCTTCTCTGGCAGCGAAAGTTATCTTCATTATAATGACGCTGATACTATGAAGAGGTAAAAAGTAATTTAATGAATCGTATCGCTTTTCTTTGTTAAGTAATATCATACAATTGGAGCCATATCTAGAACTTTTAGTATCCTAGGCATTGGAGCCCTTAATATGTTTTTAATTAAATTTAGAATTCGAAGCCCTTAATATGTTTCTTATTAAACGTAAAATTCAAAGCCAATGAATTTATTTATTTATTTATTTCAAGTCGTAATAACAGACATCTCTATAGGGCCCCCTTCTGTTTAGTGCATATTTTAACTATTTTATCCACAGTCCTTCACAGAAAGAAAATTCCTTACTTCCAGGATAATCAGCTACAGGGTAGACATCAACATGAGATTCCGAGCGAGTAGCAGCAGCGGACTGTTACTTTGGAGCGGACGACAAGCGGATCCGCAAGAACAAAGGGACGAGAACGACGATTTTCTTGCTCTTGGCTTGGACCATGGTTATCTAACATTAGCTTATAATCTGGGCTCTGGTCAGGCTGTTCTACGGTACAATTTAACGAGACTGGACGATGATCTATGGCACCGTGTTCGAGCCGTAAGGTAACCATATTAGGGAGAGTTCTCTGCTCGCAATTTTGTCAACTTCTAATTCGAGAAAAGCTTTATAATCGAATTGCCGTGGTCTGAAGTTAACTGATGTTTCGTTAGGAACGAGCAATGGGCGTCGTTGGTCGTCGACAGTGGTACAGGTGTGTCGGCCTCGTCGCCTGGACAGCTCAGACAGTTGAACACTGACACGGGTCTTTATGTTGGTGAGTATGATTTTGATTGAAAAGTTTCGTGTGATCCGTTTTAATAAAGCTTGTAATCCACTAAGGTTCATCCTAAATGATTAAAAGCACAGTTCTCATTTGGGGGATAAAATGTTTTTTGGAATCGTGGTTAAAAATTAAATGTTATATCAAATATTCACACTTGCTTTTTAATTATTTCAATTTTTTATTATTTCAAGAATACATAATTATCGTTTCCTAATTTCTCAGAAGTTACCACTATTGCATCCATATTGTTACTAAGGTATTAACTAAAAATACATTTACAGGTGGTGCACCAGACATCGTGAGGACGACAGGAGGCAAATATACGAAAGGCATCGTGGGTTGTATCAGCGACCTGGTTTTAGACTCGGACTTCTCGGTTGCACTGTCGTCACCGGGGCAAGCTACCAACACGCACTCGTGCATCCCCTGAAAGACATCAGTACCGTCCAACGTTAGATGGTTAGGTCCTCGCGGATCAGCACTTAGGATATGAAAATGCATCACAATGAATTCGCTGGCTAAGCCAGACCAACGATGTAGCCCGGCGTTCAAGGTGAACTAAACTTCGCTGAACGGACTCCTTGAACGCTGGCCACGTGTCGACGTGCAAACTCATACACCTATCATACACTGTTCATCATTTTTGTACAGACTTCATAGCGACGACAAAAATTCTTCGTAAATGGGGCAACAAACACCAGGAAAGAAAAGAGATATACTATAATACGAACGTCGACAGTCGAATGGTAGACACAGCTTACTGTAAATATTAAATGAAAGGTAATCGCGGTATCTGGAGATCTGTCAGTCGCCTCACCGTTTTCGTTCGCTGGCAACTTCCTGTCTAAATCGAAGACTTGGTCAGAAGGCACTCGTATTTTTAATTCTTTAATCCTGTTGCTTAACTCTTTCATTATTGTAAAGGGTGATTATAATCGTCCGAAGTAAAGCATTATTATTTCAAAATAGGATAGAAAAGTACCTATGCTAAAAAATTTCTCATTGCGAATTAAATTTATTTTATAGATATTGACTTAGATGATTTAGAAATAGAGGAGGATAAGGAGAAAATAGAGAATCATAATTGTAAGTCGAACAGATATTTTTTGTTAAATCTGTTTGTTTTCTGAGTTGCTGAAGAATAGTCGTTCCTACGAGTTGGAAGGAAGTTGTTACAAAGAAGGAACGTGAGTCTAGTCAGTCACGACTGTCTCCGGCCGGATAGAAAGAACTCGACGGAGCGCGTCTCGAAGACGGCTTTCGGCCTAATGAGATTAAACTACGTAGGAAGAAAGAGAAAATGAGAGAACAGAGCACAACCCCGTCGCGTCAATTTTTATTAAGCCCTTCGACCGGATGTCACCAGAGACCCTTGATAAGTACGCTATCAGTCCAAAGTTTAAGGATTAGTTTTTATATTATAAGATACTATCAAAATGAACCTTAGAATATTTCATTCATTTTAGAATTCTTTTTATCTTTTAATTCAATGTTAGAAATTTTGAAAAATCTCGAAAGTAATAATTTTGTAAAATCACTAATAGTGTAAATCAAGGGCCACTGTCGTTGGTTCAGAAACGAACCGATATCGAGGCACCTGAAATACGTCCAGCCACTTAACGCGACACCTCTAGATTATCATCTAAGATTTATCAGTATTTTTTCTTTAGCTGTGGCCGCGTCGCGACGCGCGCGCTGCCACGCGTCGTCCGTGCACCGCTTTTGTTTCTTGTTCCAGCGAGCACCCGACGAACGGGGTAGCTCGACAGGAAGATGTAGTCTCGAGCAGAATCATTAAATCAATTACGAAAGGTACAAGATGGACCAAAAGCAATTAACATCTTTAACGTTGCGAGTGTAGTTTGAATTCCCACGGTAATTCACGCTTAAACTATCGGTTGACTATCATCATTCATTTAAATATAATTAATGTAATATTCTTTTAATTATTTGTACTATAAGTAGTTTCTATAGTGATGGATTATTCAATTATATTTAATTTCTTTTTTTTAAATATTTTATTTCATTACAATATTGAATATTAACTATAGTGGCCTGTTTCAAGCATTCACCATTTTATTTTATTAAAAATTGTTAGAGGTTTAATTTTCATTAACTAATACATGAAATAGCCGGCCGTTTAAGCGTTAAAATACTGTACACTTGGAGAAAGTATTTTTCACTCAATGAGTATGTTTGTTTTCCATCGTTCCCACAAATAAAAATCCAAAATTTTTTTAAAACTTCGAAAGAAAGTAACTAATAGTCATAAGTTATCTTAAAGAAGACTATAGAAAAATAAAATTATGTTTTAGTTTCCGCCCTCGGTATTATAATGAAGTGATTATCACCCTATACGTCGCGTGGCCATCGATGGAAAACAATAGTATTTTCTCTATATACGATTGTTGGTTCTTTAGAAAATTCTCGTTGCTTTTGCGTCCGCTCGATGAACACGCGAGATGAAAACGAAAGAGTAACAACACTCGTATATTCATCGTTACGAGAACCACTATGCTTCGTAATGTACTTCCGCAGCTGCCAGTGTATGCTCCTTGACGTTTCCGCTTAAGAAGCACCGAGCTGCACGTTCTAACGGTTAAATATCTGTATAAAAGTAGCGATTTAATTAATGGAGATGTCCCTGCATATTTTCTTAACTCAAGGGTAGGAACTTTTCCAAACGACCCTGAACGAACGGACCTTTATCACCTGTTAACCCATCTGACACGACTGTTTTATATGTATAATTTTAATTAATACTTCATTAATATCATTTAACATTATATCTCTAAAATTAATAAAATTTCATTAGGTTCCATATATCTTTCCCAATACACAAATTAATAAATTAATGACAAAAATATTCATCTTAATTTAAAAAAGAAATTCATAAACGAACCGGAAGTCGTGTCGGAAGGGTTAAAAGAGGAGCCGGTCGGAATCAATCAGTCAGGTCAATACGTATACACGTCATATCTTAACGAGAAAGCGGAAGCGGAAGAAAGGTGGATAAGGTATTTAGGGGGATAGAATTGAAAGGGGCTAAAACAATTTTATTTCACCGTTGCACGAAAATGATTTGAACGGACGATCGAACTAGAACACATCATGAAAAAAGCAATCGGCTGTAGTCAATTTTGTACGAATGTTATTTTCTTGAAATTATATATATATATATATATAAAAAAAGAAAATATCAAAGATGAATGGTAGATACGTAGAGAGGTATAATATAATATTAATATTAAAGGATTACTCGTGAAATCTAGCGATGTAAAGCTCGAGGCGAATATTTTAGCCTGTTTCTCGAGGGCACCCTTCTCCTTTTCAATTTTTCTTTCCTTCTTTTTCATCATTTTCCTGCACAATCTTTCGCAACGTCGATGTGTGTGGATGTGAACGTATGCGTGCGTGTTGTATGCGTGTGTATATCGATTCTATGAACGATCCTCCGAGCTTTGTATAAATGTACAATGGAGTATCGTTCGTACGCGTTTCGTTCTAACGACGTCTTGGAAACACGAAGCGTTTTTGTACAAAAAAAAAAAAGAAAAATGGTCTCGCGACACACTAGTTAAGCTTTCTCGTCGCGTCTAGAAATCGCATCTCTTTATTTCCTGCTCTTATTCACGCAAATAAGGTTCCTGAGCAAATTTTGCTATCGATGGACGACGAGGCTAAACTTACCTTGATTCATCGACGATCATTTCTTAGCGATTCATCCCCAATCGTGCATGAAAAATTTATTTATCAACGAAGCTGGACGACAGTAAACTTCGTCCGCGATGAATCGTGGCATTGCATTTATTGCACGTTGGATGGATGCATCATTTTCAACGATATTGATTAATTTTAATTGATAAGGGAGGACGATTTTATCTACTTTTACTTCAGGCATAGATACATCGAAATCGTATTATTTTTTTTATTTAAATCATTTTAATAGATAACGCGTGTTTGTTTGTACGACTAACGTTGTGAAAACGACCAGATTGTTGTAAGTCAGCAGGTCGTACGAGATGCCTGATAATTCCACGAGGATTAGTATCCGAATAAGGCTGATGCGAATCGTACGTCGGATCGTACTAATTGAATCTAAGGGAAAAAATAATCAATCGCTGGATATCACCTCAGACAAAAGCGAGAAAAGGATGCTGTATTGAAAGCAACAAAAAAAAAAAATATATCATACATATTAATATATAATAGATATTATATTATTACTGAATATTATATTAATATATGATGCTATATATTAAATATTTCTATTATGTCCGTCTGCAAAGTCTATTAGAAGAGTCTATCCTGTCGACACCTATTCTTGCGACCCATGTGGATCTCCTCGAATATATATGTATATACATATATGTAAGTGTGTGTATGCATGTATGTATGCATATAGAATGGTCGAAGATGATGTTTCATTTTCTTTTCACACTTTAAAAGAAAAATTGTGAGATGTTAAGAGGAAGACGAGCACACATCACAAACGAGACGTTTGGTGTCTCGCTCTCACTTTTTTGGTGATTATTATTATTCGTGTAGATTTAATCGAATGATAAATCGTGCGAAAGAGCTTATCATCGAATCTGATGTTGTCACGCGATTGCGCACAGTGGAACACTTTCATTAAGGTCTTGTGTAATTACGTTTACAACTATTGTAATTGTCTCCTCGAACCAACCTTCGGAACACAACTCTTTATCCTAAAAAAAACTTCGATTCTCCTTTTTCTCTTTCTTAAAAAAAGAAGTGAATTTTAGTTATTCTTATTAAATGAAATTAACTATTAAGCTGTAATGATTAAATTTGCTTGTATTAGATATTTCGAGAACTGCAAATATTTAAATAGTTAAATATTAATGAATATATTGTTCTTTATTTCATTGCAAATTTACAAATACGAATGTTTGTTGCTTAATTACCGAGAGCAAAGTGGAACAATATGGAAAAGAGGAATTTTAAGTTATTCTATTTCTTGAATCTAGTGCCGCGCGATGCAATAATTTAACGAGTTGTGTATGTATATGTTGGAACACGCAGTGGTATAAATTCATGTGAGCAAATGTGTGTGTCTCAGCCCATGTTGTCGAAGCATCAATAAAAAAGAGGTTTTGTAAATTAGACTATTTTCTTTTCCCTTCCGCCTTTCCTTTTTCTTATTAAACTTCGAATATATTTCAAGTTAAACATTTATTTAGACAGTTTTTGTCAATCGTTTGGTTCTAAAATTAAAAATCAATTAAAAAATATAAAATTAAACACCATTTTACAACTGGTTTGTCAATTAAAACATTAATTACAGCTTAATTGCAAAATTAAATCGTCTCTAAAAGAATTTGAAATTCGACTGTGGAGTGGAACGGAGCAGCTGATCGAGCACCGCTACAACCATTTAACTTAGAGTGCGGTGATAACTATTCAGTCTTATAGCGACCGCCGAGCAGTGCGTGGGTAATCACCAGGATTATTCCTCTTTTTCATAGACCTCGGGAGGGCTACATCTAAATCAACATATTCCGTGAATCCCTTTCTTTTTTTTCGGTCAAGCCCATCACTACCACGAACAAGTGAGTTTCACGATTTGTTCGTTTTTCGTTCTTATATTTCGCTAGATCCGGTCAAACCCTTCACTACCCCGAACAAGTAAGTTCCACGATTTGTTCGTTTTCAGGTCTTATATTTCGCTACTTTCTTTGGGGTCCCTGGAACCCCAAGATTGCTTTCGGGGTTCCTGAGAACCCCAAGATTGTATTCTGGGTTCCTGGGAACCCCAGAAGGGTTACAGGGGTTCTCAGGACCCCCGGGGTGATAACCGGGGTCCTTGGCACCCCAAGAGGATGCTCGGGGTCCCTGAAGCCCCAGATACCATATTGTTGGTATGTAAAGAGAGTCATTGGTGCTTTGGGGTCTCCGAAACCCCTGATACCATAATGTCGGTATGTAAAGAGATTCATTGGTGCATTGGGGTCTCCGAAACCCCAGATTCCATAATGTCGGTAGGTAAAGAGATTCATTGGTGCATTGGGGTCTCCCAAACCCCAGATACCATAATGTCGATACGCGATGAGGGTCATTGATGCTTTGGGGTCTCCGAAACCCCTGATTCCATAATGTCGGTAGGTAAAGAGATTCATTGGTGCATTGGGGTCTCCGAAACCCCAGATACCATAATGTCGATACGCGATGAGAGTCATTGATGCTTTGGGGTCTCCGAAACCCCAGATGTCGTAATGTTGGTATGCAAAGAGACTCATTGGTGCTTTGGGGTCTCCGAAACCCCAGATACCGTAATGTCGGTATGCAATGAGAGTCATCGGTGCTTCGGGGTGCCTGATACCCCAGATATTGTCAGGACCGTATGAAGAGGGCACAACCTGTATAAATTTTTTCTAGAGTTAATTTAATTTATTTCATTTATTCTTATCTGCTTATTAAATAAGCTCATCAAAGCGGATAGCATTTATGATAATATCCCTCCTCTAGGTCCCAGCCGAGGACCCCATTTATTTTACTTTTTCCAGTTATTTATATAATTTTATCCCTCATTATAGCCAAGGCCATTTCAGTAGCCCTTACATCCCTGCATTCCTTCCATCGCAGCATTCCTTCCATCACAGCATTCCTTACATTCCTGCAACCCTTAAATACTTTTTTTTTTTTTTTTTTTTAACGTGGTGGAAATCTTCAGAAAGACACCTCTAGCCCCCCTGGGGAGGGGCCGGAGGTAGTGTGGGATTTTTACCCACTAAAACCACCACGGTGGCCCGCACTAGGGCTGTAGGGAGGGTCCTTTGACCCTCCGCCATGTGCCTAACTCCGCCGAAATCGGGGGCCACACCCGATGCCGGCACTCCTGGGGCCGCGTATAGTGGAGCCCCTACCCCGGATCTCTACGGAATTCCTTTACATCCCTTGTTCCGTTACATCTCTTCATCCCTTAAATCCCTACATTATTATCATTCCTACATTCTTTTCATCCCTACATTCTTTTCAACCCTACATTCTTTTCATCCCCACACTCTTTTCATCCCTACATTCTTTTCATCCCTACATTCGTTACTTCTCTTCATCCCTTACATCCCTACATTCTTTTCATCCCTACATTCCTTACCTCTCTTCATCCCTACACTCTTTTCATCCCTACATTCCTTATCTCTCTTCACCCCTACATTCTTTTCAACCCTACATTCTTTTCATCCCTACACTCGTTTCATCCCTACATTCGTTACACCTCTTCATCCCTTACATCCCTACATTCTTTTCATCCCTACATTCGTTACATCTCTTCATCCCTTACATCCCTACATTCTTTTCATCCCTACATTCCTTACCTCTCTTCATCCCTACACTCTTTCCATCCCTACACTCTTTTCACCCCTTCATTCCTTATCTCTCTTCACCCCTACACTCTTTCCATCCCTACACTCTTTTCATCCCTATACTCTTTTCATCCCTACATTCTTTTCATCCCTTCATTCCTTACATCTCTGCATTCCTTATAATAAATATATTATAAAGACTGCTTCGAGTAAAGGTAAGTAAAAGTAAGTTTGAGAATTTCGCGAAAATTTCGAAAAAGCAGCGCCCCCTAGCGGCGAAAATGTGAACTAAAATTTCGATGTCGGATTAGCGCCATCTGGTTTTGGAAAAAGGAACTAAAGCTTGCTCAATTTTTGACCCTCTGGCGGCAAAAATGTGAACTAAAATTTCGATGTCGGATCAGCGCCATCTGGTTTTGGAAAAAGGAACCAAAGCTTGCTCAATTTTTGGCCCTCTGGCGGCAAAAATGTGAACTAAAATTTCGATGTCGGATCAGCGCCATCTGGTTTTGGAAAAAGGAACTAAAGCTTGCTCAATTTTTGGCCCTCTGGCGGCAAAAATGTGAACTAAAATTTCGATGTCGGATCAGCGCCATCTGGTTTTGGAAAAAGGAACTAAAGCTTGCTCAATTTTTGGCCCTCTGGCGGCAAAAATGTGAACTAAAATTTCGATGTCGAATCAGCGCCATCTGGTTTTGGAAAAAGGAACTAAATCAAGTCGAAATTTTGGCCCTCTGGTGGGAAAAATGTGAACTAATATTTCGACGTCGAATCAGCGCCCTCTGGTGGCACAAAAAGGAACTTTAAAGGGTGCGGAGATGTAAGGGATGCATCGATGTAAGGAATACAAGGGTATAAAAAAGCGGGAATGTAAGGGATGTAGGGGTATAAGGGATGTCGGGATGTGAGGGATGTAGAGATATAAGAGATGTAGAGATATAAGGGATGTAGGGATATAAGGGATGTAGAGATATAAGGGATGCAGAGATGTAAGGGATATAGAGATATAAAGGATGTAGAGATATAAGGGATGTAGAGATATAAGGGATGTAGAGATATAAGGGATGTAGAGATATAATGGATGTAGAGATGTAAGTGATACAAAGATGTAAATGATACAGGGATGCAAGGAATACAGAGATATAAAGCATGCAGGTATGTAAGGGATGCAGGAATATAAAGGGTATAGTGTCAAATCCTGAGTGACCCTCAAAGACAAAGAAAATAATAAATAACTGGGGAGGGTGAGCCGAGGTCCATGAAGAGAGTTAAAATAATAAATAACTTGACGGGGTGGTTCTGGCAAGGCCCATATGTAGGGGTGAAATAATAAAGGAAGGGATAAATTAATAGGCGTAGCACAGAGGAGCAATAAAATCAACGCCTTCACCCTCCTAATGAGTTTATTCAGTAAGCTAAGATAACAAATACAGCAAATTAAATGAACGCAGAAAAGAAAATAAAGGTTTAAGTATGTTTAACAGGTAGATCTGCGTCCCTCGGTGGTTGCTACAAGACTGAGGGCGTCTGACCTTGCTGTACGGTTGACAACGGTAACCGATCAGCCATGGCGTTCCTCTTCATCATCGCAACCAACTTCCTGTACTCGAATCAGTGAGAACTGTCAAAATAAACGTTTGATGAACTTGTATTTTAAAAAGACCGCCAGAAATGAACTATTTTTAAAATTCGATCTTAGCGTCATCTATATAGAAACGGTGCAAAGTAAACGACAACTTACCGCCTTTGTTTTCAAGAATTTGCGACCGCTGGGGTCCCAGATACCCCATGATGACGTCAGATCGGTATGCAGAGTCTGCGGATGTCATAAGGTTGGAATGCAAAGTGCGTTACCGGTGTTTCGGGGTCCCTGACACCCCAAGATCATATCGGGACCCATACCAAGATGCATCGGGGTCCCTAACACCCCGAATGCCATAATGTCGGTACGCAGTCACAGGTGCTTTGGGGTCCCTGACATCCCGAAACGATACTGGTCGGTATGCAGGGAGAGTTAATGCTGTATCGGGGTCCCTGATACCCCGGATGCCATATTGTGCTAATTTCGTGGTAATGTTACGATTTGGTAGACAAAGGAATGATAAAACGATCACGACTGTCATACCTAACGTACTCTGTAAAAGTAAATGTGCTCATATATACGAGATACCATAGACGTAACATGCAATGTTAAATACTTTTATTACACATATGCTGCAATTATTATTATATAATAATCAGATAATATCTTCTTACGTCTCTATACAAAAATAATTACAATAATAATCGTTATTGGCATAGGCAAAATCGTTATTTATTGAAATTTATTGAGCACAATTATTTTTGTTTCTTATTTTACACAAGTAAACCTATATTAAAAGTCATTTAAAATTATAAGATCTTAATTATCTCTTATACATACACACATTTATAAGATGCGTATGCTTGTATCGTGTATATTTATATTTAAATTCATTCTGTAATACCTACAACGCATACTAACAATATATCAAAGTCTTTTGTTACACTGGTAATATAAGTTTTTGACAAAATACTGAATATTTCTCCAACTTTCCCTATTCATTTTTCTCTTCCTCTCTCTCCTCGGCTTCATTATTTTTTTAAATCGTTTCTTCTACGTTGCATTCATTTTCACACTAGTATATTCAATCTTCTATTTAACTATCTCATATGCGCGAACAATTCGATAGCCTTAATGAATATTCGAAAGTGTAAATTTCATCCATGTACTTATTCGAAAACCCTGATTAGTTCGCGATCATTAAGAACAATTTTCGCTGGCATACAGTTCGTCTCGTCGTCCAGCAACGAATTGTTCGTCTTTCGAACATTCGATTCGTTTATTTCGCATTAATTACACGCTATCTCGGTAAACGATCACGCAGAGATAGAGGTTTAAACATTGCGATGTAACCGTAAGATGTCCGCGAAACGTTTTTTTCGTTTCGCATACATCGGGTACAACTTTCGATTTATAAAAAGTGGTATAAAATTCATATCGTGAAGTCGAGCTTATCGAGAATATTCAGAATTGATCGAATGGTAGAAACGTTTAATTGGATGTCGAGGACATTAGATGTAGGGTGTGTCGCTTTAATTAAAGTAACGGTAATGGTATGTTAGAACTACATTATCCGATAGTCGTTTGCAAGAAACGCGAGCTTAAAAATATTTGAATTCGGTTCATCAGTACAAACGACCATATTCCTCTTCCCTAACTCGAAACTTGAAAGGAAACGGTGCAGAATCGGAACGCATACGATGGAATGTTTCTGTTAATTATGATAATTTCTGCGACGAAAACGAAAACCCTGCGGCTTATTAATTATCATAAAGAAAGGCGCAGTTCGAAACGAAACGAGCCGGAATTAGATCATGCATGTAACGATCTCGAATTACTTGGATGCACGGTGCCTCGTGGCACTGAAATTGTATGGCACGTATTACATAATATAAACTTTCCACACTTCCTCCTTATTTTCCATTTTCCCAGTTTCAGTCTTCTGAAAACGTTCCCGCACGAAACACAACGATACGTACGAGAATTCTATTCTCGTCACGCCTCGTCGTTCTTCCTCAAACGTGCAACCCCCTGCAGGCGACCTGGCTATAACAGTAGGGTGATCATATCTCTTGTTTTTAACAAGTAGCTTTCCTTCCTACGATACATACGTAAAATAAAAGTTTCAAAATATTATTTCCACTAAAATTAGTAAAATTAGTAATTAAAGTAATACGCTATAAAACTATAATTATATCAAATATCGTTTAATACGTTAATGTAAACTTTGTTATTAAAAAACTGATACTTTGGTTGCAATAGAGTTTTTACGTATAAAACTCTAACAATTCTAAGGAAAAGAAAACGAAAAGGATCTAATCCTTTATTCTCTCTTCGTGAAAGAATACGATCACCTTACCACGTAACATTCTAACTTAAATGATTTATACTAAATAAAAATTATTACGTAAGTAGCGGGTAACTATTCCGTACAAGACAAAAAAAAAGAATCATTTCCTCCCTCGGGACGGTTAAAGCTTCGAACTGAGCAACGATCGTACATACATACAGAATGAGTTTAAGATAACCAACAGACTCGTATATATTAATTCGAAAATCGTCAAATTTGTATCTTCTTTTTTTTTTCATTTAAATTCTATCCACGATTAAATAACATTGTTATAATAACACCGCATTTATCTAAATCTGTACATAGAAATTTTCCGTCATTCATGTCCAACAATAAATAATTAAGCTGCTGAAAGAACACCTTAAAATGTGTCGAGTTTCGATGCACGCTTAATAATATGTGTATACATACCGCCGTAATTCTATCGTACCTCTACAATTACACTTCGTCAAACGTAATATCGAACGAAAACAATTAAAGATTCGCCGTATTGATTGTACTTCCTGGCACCGCCAAACAACCGCGTTATAGTTCTGCCAGGCGAGAGTGAAGGTTGAAGATGAATCAAAGGAGAGGACAGGGGTAGAAATGATTATTCATTTAATAAAAAACATAATCGTGACTTTTTAAAATACATATCTGAATAGTCGGAGGCATCTGTGATACGACGAAACATCTCTTAACGAGTGATGTTGCTGCGCCACAAAGTGCGGCTAGACTGAAGCGGGCCTGGATGACCGCGCCCTATATATGTACTCTCAGAAGATTCGCGCATGCGCGTTAGAACCTTCACTATCGCTTGGCGCGTACTTACGAACTGAAACGTGCAATGGAATTATAATTCACGTAATTATCGATCGTGTCGACGAATCGCGGCACTTAATTTTGCAATCTCTCGGGATCTTGTTTGTTTATTTATTTTTCTTTACGGACGGCTAAAAAGGGTCCGTTAATTTGACGCTCTTCGATATTCAGGACCATCGATGCCGATCGCTGCGCTATCGGACCTTTTACCCGCGAAACAGAACAATTTCTCCTAGACGAAAGATCGATACCATGATATCTCGAGGAAATTCGAGAGATCGCGATCGAATTCTCATTATAAATCTATCACAAATCATTCGGGAGCATATGTGTGATATATACTCGTACTATACTTCGCGCAAACATTTGTTTCCTTTTTTTTTTTTTAATTACTTTCATCGTTCTCCGTTTAATTAATCTTTCGTAACATTCGTAAAGAGAAAGTTTAATGGTAACATCGTACGTTGAAGTGCTTAGTTTTCTCTTTATCTTTTCTTCTTTATTATTATAAAGAATTTAACGTTTTTTTTCTAGCAACGGGTGAATCGAGAAACATGTAAGAGCAAAATTATACATGGATCGAAGTCGAGATTTTTAAAATCATGTCGTCGGTGCGTTTGAGACTGGCGGTGCGTCGGTACGCCATATTGAATTACCCGATTGACTGATCGTGGTGATCTGTAAATAAAAAGAATTATAAAATTTGAAGAAATTAATATGCTACTACGAAGTTACAAGTCTGGTCACTGTGAACGATCGTCTGGTAAATGATTATACGATTGATCTATTAATCGCCACCTTATTGTCGTGTCCGATTAATGGAGTTTCTGCCGTGGTCTCGTCGCAGCTACGATTCATGTACGGATGCGGGGGCGGCACATAAATCGGCTTAGAATGACTGGCGACTTGCGCGTAAATCGTCGGTTCCTGAATTGGCTGCCTACGCGTCAGAGTCGACATGGCCAGCAGTTGAGGCCGTTGAATATTGGATACCTGTACCGGCTGATAACAATTAGGAGGTATTCGTCGGTTGCCACGAAGCGACAGCTCGGCGTACGTTAACTCTGATCCCTGCAAAATCAGACGGACAACTCGTTAACGATTATGCAAATCACGGTGGATAGAGATTTTAATAAGCAGCCGCAGTCTCCTCCCTCTCGGCGTGTTCAAACTTACAGACTAAAAACGAAAGCGTTTTCTAAATGTAGAAAAATATTTTCAAACGCGTAGGATTTGAAATGAAACATTTTCTGATAATATTAAATTAACATAGCTCGTACTCACGTTGTTCGTATTGGTAAAAGTACTTGCATCGGTTCGTGGTTGGTGCAGCACATAACGAGGCGAAGCACCCTTGCATAGTTCGGCATAAGAATTTTCTATGAAAATAAAAAGAATTAGAAAAAAAGAAATTAACTCGATAAATTGTTTTCTTTTCTAATCACGCTGCGTAGCAACGTTTTGCAATAGATTACATTTACAACCGGAACGTTGAACTCTGGCCATGACGGTGGTCGAGGTAACATACCAGATGCTCATTAAATTACCCACCATTAGCGTGAGGAATTATATCAGGGTCCTTCTCGAAGCTCTCGATGCTGTCGGAGTTGAGAGGCAGGGTCGACGATTTATCACGTGGAGAGGAACTGCCGGTTCCGGACGCAGCCAGGTTTGCCATGCCACCGTCGTCGTGAGAGTCCTTGTCCTCCTGAGGCCTCGGTCGATACCGTAATCTCACCGCCAGTACTATCACGAAGATCACCAGTAGAAGACCCGCTGTCGCGCCGACCACCGCGCCCAACAATGGTCCAGACAACGACAGCATCCCCGGGGTGAGAGCTGAAAATCGTGGTAAGTGGTTTCACTCATCTTTTTTCATCCGGGAAGGTTGGGATTCGGTCGTCGAGAGGAAATTGGTCACAGAGAGAGGATCTTTATGCGGGAGATATCGATACTCTACGTTCCTGATCTTTGAGTTTAATCGTTCAATGAGAAAATTAACCCCTGAGATGGCGGACCATGGAGAGAGCCTCGATTTTAATTTAATACGTTTTATAAGTTTGGGTCTGGATTGACTCCGAGTTCGATGTTCAAAGATTAACACGTCGACTGTCATGGCACTGAACAATACCACCAAATTTCAAAAATCAAGGGAAAGGAATAGGGAAAGTTAATATTAATTGTGTTAAGACCAATAATTAAGTAATGCTGTGATGGTCGAATAATTTAAAGAGAATCCTAAGTAGCACTGTTACAGTGGAAAGTATAAATTGATAAATGAAACAATCATTAATATGTATACACATTTATTTTCAGTGTCAGTCAACGTGTTAAGGAATGAACTGGATGAAGTGGTGCAAATTAGACAAGTGGAACAGGAATGGTCCCTGATTAGGCAACAGACCTGATTCTAGCTCGATTAGTGGAATAGGATCACCGTTGGTTCAACAAGCACATTAGAGACCGTTACTTGATCTTATAAGTGGCTGTTAATGGTCAGACAAGTAGCACAGAGACACTTCGGATCAGGCATGTAATGGTAGTAGTAGCCAATACTCGCTAGCCAAGTGGTGTAAGCTTGATCCTGTTTTGACTAGTGAAAGAGGATCATTATTGATCATATAACAAGACTAACAATAAGAAGCTTTGATCATTCAGTAAATAACCATGATTGGTTAGATATGCAGTATAAAATTCATGATGAACTGTACAAATAGTACAGCAATTGGATTTCAATGAGCAAGTGGTATAGGTCTATTATAAGTCAGACATGTATTCAACATACCAGAAAATCGTCATGTCAATCCTAATTACTTTGAATTTACTTCTGTTATTAATTTTGAATATTTTTTAAGAATTTAACAACAGAAATTCAATTTTATCTTGATACCTTTTTGAATAAAATAAAAAATAATTAATGAATCGCTGACCGTTCGAGTTAAATGATATAAGAAATTCAAATATTCAGTGTGATACTGATTCATTTGCTCGCACGATTTCGACCGGCAACTTGATTTACCGCGCACGGTGCATTGTAGGTAATAATGGATTAATATCTCGATAATAAACGAGCTCGGGTCTGATTAACTACGGTCCAATGCGTTTCGTATTTGGCCATCGACAATTATGTAAATGAAATATCATCGGGGGTTGATCGTCGTTTCCGCTCGCGACAACGTTATGGATGATGGTCGTTCCAGGGAAAATAAGGAAAAGCCGACGTGCAGCTGCGGGCGAAGTTTAACGTTATCGTTATCGCGCGTTATTGTATAAATATTTCACCTGGGACGTTTAATGGCCCGTCGAGGATATATCGAGTGATTTCTGCCCGGGACATATATTTTTCAATTCTGCACGTGACTATGCCGCTTACCTATAGTTTGTCCCTCGTAAAATCTATGAAGTACGGGTTAAAATTAAATGGCCCTTTAAATTTCGACTGACCTGATTTTCTTCTTACGATACTATACTTTGCTATGGATGCTCTATTTTCGTTATCTACAAGTTTATTACCTTTGCTTTTATATTTGATATATAAAATTATTCTCTTCTTCATATACGCTTGTTATATATAAATCAAATTTCCCCAGAAAAAATGGGGATGTCAGGAGGTCCCATCCTTCCCCTTAGGCATCCCCGAGGAGAATGGCAAGGATGGAAGAAGGGGTCCCATATATACAGGAACCTGGTCTTATCACGTGAACGTACATGTTTACGCGGCAGAATTTGAATTGATATTTATTTATTATTCATATTTCTCAGTTATATACTAAATTTTATATTATTTAATAATTAAAAGTTACATTATTTTTGTTTCTAAATTACTTTTAATATTAATATTCTAAGGAATGATTGTCAATGGCAGTGAAAAGAAGCTGTGCGTTATCTAGGCATATTCCACACTACGTTCGAATGAGTTTGTAGCAAAACTCGATTTCATTCGCATGCAACGTCTACAATGATTCAGGTGAAACACATATCTACGATCAGAAGCGGAAGCACGTGGTTGCAAGCAGAAATACCTGGTCACGTGTTATCCCTGACAGTTTTACTACCTCGACGAGTCATCGTGTGCTCTAATTTGTTTCGTTCTTTCTCATTCCACGTAAACTCGTTGACGGGCATGGTAATTACAAAGCAAGAAAAAAAGAATCTCTAATAATAAATCGAAGCGTTAGATTGAACGATGATTTTTTTCTTATGCTTAGTACATATTATCGTATGTCTGACTTATCATGGTTACTTCTACTGTGATTCATAAACGCGTCACTGTATCCTTTCCACTTATCGTAACGATTGTATTAATTTGTTGTAATAAATAATTAAAGAGGTGAAAATAGTCTGATCTACACCAGTGTAGACTATTATTTTCACGGGCAAACGTTTAACAGACTGTCGAAGGACGGTACACTATACCGAGCGATCCACAAACAGCTTCAGTAAAGAACCCTCTAGTTAGCTCAAACAGAACACCATCAACACACAAAATACGTGCTACAACAGAACGGACAAAAGGAAAGAGAAGACAATCTCGAAAGGCTTTTCCACAGTGTCTCCAGTCGGAAAAACACAAAGTGCCTCTAGAACCGACCATGTTTTCGCACGGAAACCGTTTCCCTTCGGACAACAACGAACAGTTCCCGAGACAATAGGGTGGAAAGACGAAAATGGACCATTCAGTGTATCCCGCTACCACGGCGAATGAATGAACGAACGAACGCGTCAAATAAATGATGACATTCTAAAAGCGTGCACAGACTTGCCATCGGGTCGTCCGTACGTGTACGTAGCGCAAGAGAAAGGGGATAGAGTAGCTCGTAAAAGGCAGCTCGTAAAAATGTACGCTTTTCAGGGGATGCGATCGTAAAGGTAGTTTCGCTTCAATTCTTTACCGTCGTTGGCACTTTTTGAAACTTTCGAAACGATAAGTCGAGCCCCTGTGAAATACGACCGATATTTCAGCTCTGATTCGTCCTTGCGAAATCACTACATTTTTTTCTTCTTTTTTTTTTATATATTCGAACGCCCACATTTGCTTATTTGCATGTGTGTAGTGTACGGTGACGTTATTCGTAACCCTCGGACGGCGTACCATGGAGAGAGCCCCAATTTTTTATATTCGAGCGGAGCTACAGTTAAATGCTATTTAATTTTATTTAGAATATATTTTAATTTTTGAACCAATTTTATTAAACAAGGGAGAATGCAAAGGTTTGATAGCCCCAGGCACCAGGAATCTTAGTCCGGCCCTATCCGTCGAAACGTCGATTCGTCCCGACGCCAACTGTCTCGCGGATTAACCGAACCGGCTAATTAGCGATTAATCGATTATATCCGCCCCGTGTAACACCATCCGCTCGTGTTCGTGTCTCCCCCAGGTACGCTTCGATTGAACCGATTTATGTAAAAGTGACCAGTCGACCGCCAATTAGTCGATTTACTTGATTATATGGTAGGTCTACTGTCGATAAGTAGATTATTAATGAAAAAAAAATAAATTGGAAGGCTAGATGAGTCGTTACTTTTGAAGATTTCTTACTGTAAACGTTATGAGCTAAATGGTTCTTTTCAATTTTGCAAATAGAAGAATAACGAAGAATAAAACAAGAATATCCTGAGGATGACGTGTTTGCAGAGAACGTGAATCATAGTTACGCCAGCTATGAATCTAGGATTCAGATGCACTGTCCAGAACTACGAGTGGCACTCAAGTTCGAGATTAATCAAAATTCACTTAAATTCGCGAACTCCTCTAATCGAGTAGCCCTCTTGTTCCGCGCCCGTGATTCTAAGTTGATATTAAACGCAGAAGGCCGTCGTTGGATTCAACACAGCCGAGCTTGACGCTTCCTCTAATTCCGAAGATGGAACGGGGGTTAATTTGAAAGCAATTTTATATTCCCAGCCCCTACGTTGGAAACGTTTTTCGCTCATGTTAATTTAAAGCGACATCGCTAAATCGTTATTTAACTGTGATATTACATTTGTTTGAAAATTTTTCCATGTTTCTTTTCCCTGGTGAACGTACAAAAACGTGAAGGATATTTCTAATTATTTAGACATTTCTGTTAATAAGACAAATACGGTGGTATATTATTTGTTGTTACACGTTTGTCTACATCGGTATTGATTCAGCTAATTATAATATGGTAAGCCAACAAATCAGTTGAAAACACAGGAGTTAAAGCAGAAACTAAATTTACTGCTTCTGTCAAAATTCAACGTTCCTACGTTTTCCCAGAAGAATACCCGTTGGAATGAATATATTAAGCTGCTGAAGCTCTACTCAAAGCTTTACTTGAGGGATTACCTTTCGAAACGGTAAAACCAGCAAACATGTTCCTGGTTTCACATCACAGAATCGTACTTAATTTTAAATCACGTTAAGTCAAATCCCTCAAAGTCGACTGTTGTCTCGAGAACTTATGAAACTCGTCATTTCCATTCGAAGAGCTAATCGAATCACCATACTGTTACGGGGAAAGATGGAAACGCGTTATTGTGACGGTCTTAACCAGTCAAAGTCGAGTGTAACCCAGGAAGAGACGTCATTTCCACGCGACGAATTAATCGAATCACCGGCGAGATACACACCAAGTCTGCAAACGTACTTCAGTGTTTACTCGACGAAATAACGTTCCACTGATATACACGTTTGCCACCTCAGACGGATTCCAATTACGCTGTTCATTTATTTATAAGGCCAATCACTGCAGATATCCGGTACATCCCTTAGGAGCAGAGTGGAAGAATTTTGAAACTATTAACCCTCAAACGGCGGACCATGGAGAGAGTCCCGATGTTAAAGTTTTATCAACTCTTTGATGGCGGACCATGGAGAGAATCCCAATCTTAAAGTTCAGAACTATCGAGCGTCTATGCGCAAAATTTTAACAAAATAAAAATCTAAAATTATTGCATATTCCTCGTCAATTACTCTTTGAATCCCTCTGTATATCGACAGAAGGGAGGATCGAGTTCAGCCGCAGACCAATTTCGGTTGAACGTCCTCTGGCAGAAGGTGTGCACGTACAAGTGGTTATCTCAGTGGTGTCCCTCAGTGGCCGAGGTTCCTGACTTCTCTCCTGTGTACGTAGCGACCGTTTACAGGATGTATACGCGAAGACCTTTCGCCACGAATTCGCGGAGGGGCCGTCTATTTGCATATTCGCGGTGGTTAGCTGAAAGACGTTTTGTAATCAGGTTCTGCGGCCCGTTTATCGGTTCAATTTAACCGTTAACGGGAAGGCCAGCGGATGTTTCATAACCGACGATGCGTTACGCCTGGCGTACGGCTAATGCTGCTCTACAAATTTAATCACTACCACCGTGGGGATGGTTCGATGTCTAACGGGACGATACAACGTCTGGAATTAGATCGAAAGCATCTGGGACGAATTGGTTTTACGTTGGGTTATTTGTGGCTACTAATGGCTTCGGGTTGAAATCTCAGAAAGTGATAATATCATTTTAATTCTATCGAATTTACGACTTTCAAATTTAAATAGGAACAGCGAGAGTTATTTATGAAAGAGAACCTGTTGAAAAGTGTATCAATCCAGCTTGTACACTTGTTCTAATAAAGTTGCTCGGATTAAACTCGATTCGTACTCCTGCGAGTCCATCTATGAATAGATCCGATAAGATGATCCAACGGTTTAACATCGACAATTGAATTCTATTAGGCGGCTAGTCGGTCGTGGATCAGTTTTACACGAGATTCTCAGTCGAACTTCGAAGGATCGAACGAATCGAGGGTGTACATATGTCGATCCGTGTTTACGCCGTTCCTGAATTGGCTTTCCCGAATTTCGATGACGTTGAACGTTCATTTTGGATTCGATATTCAGTCGGATTTCCCAGGATGATCCGATGATTTAATGATTAAAACGGCAAGCCAACTGATCTCTACATGATCCTGGATTAAGTGTGGATTACGTTTTGGGTCATCGTGAATTCCGGCTTAGATATTGCAGCACGTTTGACAGTATAATTTGATACTCTGGTGTCGCGTACAGAATCAACATTCAGCATTGATTTACTCGATTCTGATTCATCGGCGCGAATACCAGTCATAACCAGTGGTAATTAATCAATTAATCCGGACAGAGACATTTTAAAACTAATTACTTCGAATATATCTGTATAAGATTTGTAATCACATCAAGTGATAAATAAATTTTGGATTGGAATTTTTCATGGGTTTTAAGAAAATTTCAAATAGATCAGAAAAATCTGGACTAGTTTGATCCTGGATAAGTTAAAACCCAGCGGATGGATGCAGAATTGATAAAATAACCAACGATCACGACGGCACGATGCGCTCAGACCAGAAGGCTAACTAGTTTGGACGCAAACTCGATCGAATTTTAATTTGCGACCAATTCAGAATGGCTCGCTAACTCGAAATCGAATATTTAGTTCGGTAGTTTTAAATCAGATTCGACGCTCTCAATGTTTCGCGAGAATTAATTAATCCGCGATGTCCTGCCACGAATTATCTTATTTTTGGAAGTAGATGGTTTGAAAATTGATACGAAATTATGATAAAATTATATTAACACCTTTTTAGGAAGGATTCAGATTGAAGTCTAAACAAATATCAAATAATATTAAAAAATTGATTTAACCCTCGGATGGCGGACCATGGAGAAAGGCCCAATTTGAATTTAATTTTGAGTTTCATATTATTTCCTTTACAATTTCATTAAAAATTATTCTTGCAACATATGAAACTCTTTCGAAATAGAAATTGCCCAGATATTAGCCACTAATAAGCATCGCTATAATTGGCGAATTTTAATTAATACTTCATCGAATCTCCCGCAAGATCGATCGAAACTCAAAGACCAACCTGGTTTCTCGCATTCTGGGAAAGGATGAAAGATGGATGCAGGATTTGTAAGAAGGTGAAAGGACGTGGGTATGATCGAGCGTTGGAGGATAAATAAAAAGGGTGGTCCGCGATGGCGCACGCTGACTCGAAATCGAACACTAGCTGGCCCCTACCTGGGTGACGTTGATGCTCCTGTGTCTTACCCTCCTGAACATAGTGCGGGCTGTGAAGAACCGTGGCGTCGCTCACCGCGTGCTTCGTGAACGTCCTCAGGGATAGCACCAGACCGGAGTAACTCCTCTGCTCGGGTAGATTCGTGATCTCGAGCATACTAGGCGTCATGCTACTCGCGGAGCCCAGAAGACGATTGGTGTAAGCGTCGAACACCTGCAGCACATAGGTGGCAGGCCGAGGGTCGATGTACTCGCTCTCAGCGCAGCTCACCCTCACCGTTGTCCGACTCTCTTCCATGATCGTGCAATTCTCCGGGGGTGGAGGTTGCGCCAGCCTCTCACCTGCTACCATACCGGCACAACACACCAGCCTCAGCCATCTTCTACAGCTACTTCCGGGGTCTTTTCATTGGGGGACATGTTCAAGGAGAAGGGGTGGTGTTTATCGTTTCTCAAGGGACGTTTTTCCGGACACCCTTTTTTTTGTGGGAACGCGGGTCAAGTGGTTTTCGGTTGGGTTTCGGGGATGGTTTTCACGGCAGACCGACCGGAATAGCGGAGGTAGTTTTCATTTTGAGCGACTTTAGGGATCACCTTTCCCGGACCTTTTCATATTTCGTTTGTCCCGCTGACGATGCGCTTGGTGTTGGTAAACGTTTATCTCTGGACATTTTGTGTTTCAAGGAAGTCGGATAGGTTTCGAAATGAAATTGTTGAATTTTAATAATGTCTTGGATGTTTGTCGAGTATCAAGATGTTTGGAATGAACGGGGTGATTTTTGAAGGAACGAATAAGGGATAAAACAAATGCGATGAAATGAGGCCACAGAAAATTAAAGGAAAGTTTTCAGAGACTATGGTACTTAGAATTATGTTAACTTCTCAACATCCTAATACTTTTTAGTTTGCCGTTGAAAATAAAATACTTATCTCTTATTGAATTAAATCAACAAATTTTCCATTCAATTTAGAATAAATTTTTGCTGTAGGTTCGAGATCGTGGCTCGGTTTTATCATAGCGTAACAAGCGCGTCTGACTTTTCGTTTGGTAGCTAAGTCCGTGCCGGAAGTTCGGCGAACGAGCGCTTTATCGAACGGAATATTCGACAGAAGAAGCATTACACGCGTGAACGAGTCGGAACTGCTAGACAGATCTTTTTTTTCTCCGCTCTCTTTCACGCTGTGAAAGTTCCACTTCGACAGGGGTGCGAACCAATAAATTGGCGGACGAGAATCAAGTGATGCCGGTCAACGATATCGACTGCTTCGACGGGTTTCGTTCGAAATTGCTCCCGACTATCTGGCCAAATTTTGCATTCGTTGGTTCATCAAACAATTCCATCTTTTTTTTCCACCCTTCAATGGTGTAATTACAGTTTCAAGAGAAAGATATTTGAAGTATTGAGAAATAAAAGAAGGTTGTTTGGTTTGAAAGAACAAATACGAGTACAGCGGAATTCGAAAACAATTCAGGAAAGCTTAACCGATCGGTGTTACTCTGTTGCAAACACGTATCAAATTTCTTTGAAATTAGTAAACATTTGTACTTGAAGCGTAGCATTATCAACTTGCACAAAGCCAGAAAGAAATACCCACGTTTGCGCGTTTTATCGAGCCGAGGGTGAATATCATTGATTCGCGCTACTTGACGCTCTGCCAGCTCATTTATTGACGCATACTACTGCGCCCGAGACCCATCCACATTCAATACCCCGAGAACAAACAATATTATCCGGTTTACAATCTCCCGTTACCTTTATCGAACAGCTGTGCATCGTTTAAACGCAATTTAATTCTTATTTTTCCCTAAACAAATGAAATCTACGCGATTGTCCATTAAAAAGAGACACAGCACGCTTTCAAAGCGTTTACCCCCAATAAAGGGTGGAAAAGTCAAAAGGGCGTGAAACGACTATAGAATAAACTAAAGATACATCTATTTTTGCATCGAATCCATTACATTCATAAATTGATAATAGTTCAAACATTTTAGATAACGTCGTTTAATTAGTCTAATTGCAAGAGGCATACTATACTCGAATAACCAAAAAAAAAAGAAGTATTAACGAGAGGAGTTACAATTAGAACGCGAGCCAACAATTCGGACAGACTACACTGATTTCCAGTTAGCCAACGGACAGAATAGGCAGAGTCAACCACCCCTTCTTCTCCTCCCCCTGAACCCCAATTAGCCACGCATTATTAACGCGTACTGTATACAGGCCGTTTACGGGAAAGCTGGCCCCGCGTTCCACGGTTAATTGTTAGCAATTAGCAGGAAGAATGAGCTTGCAATCTGACAGACTCGCCAGGAGAAAATTATTTTGCCAACCTACCAAGGGGACGTTTCTGTCCCGGAAACAGTTCTTTGAACCACTCAAAAAGATGGCTGACCGGTTGATATTTCATGAATCATTCAATAAAATCATTCGACCGTTCGTTAAGCAAAATCGATCTAATTAAATCTCTAAACGAACGCTGCGAAATTGATTATCGTAATTAGCCTCGATAATTAAATACATCCCCCCCTGTCGATTAATTACCGCGATGAATAATATCGCCAATTATAATTAATTGATCATAACTAATTTAATTAAACTATTAGTTAACCATGAATGGATCAAACAAATAAAATTCAGTATATCGATTAGAAGAAAGAATGAAAAGAGAAGTGGAGAAACAATTCGATGTCTCGAATGTTAATTATCGGACTGGAATCGCAAGCTTTTCACTCGATACGCGATTCAACGATCGTTTGCGGATAAATCGGGCTGCATTTGCATTTCTCATTCATACGGTGCAGCCACAACTAACGACACACGGACCGCAGAGCACAGAGGACGATAATCGAGGTCGACGGGGACGAGAAGTCGATTTAGGTAGGCTGCTGGTGATCGAGGATCGAAGCGATCGATCTCGAACGCCTAATCGCGCGTCTACGATACGAGACCTCGAGTATTTGCAGTAACGCGATGGTGTAGCGCAAGGAATTTTTTTTTTTCTTGTAAACTGAGAAAGTACGCGCTGAACAAACGTAGAAAAATCAGCAGTGCGATAGACTCTCGTTATATTGCCGTGGAAAAATTGTCAAACTTCCAAATTCTCATTTGGAGGGGTAAGGGATATAGAAGAGCCCCTCATGAGGCAATATAACAAGGATCTATTTAAAAACGGCGAAACAATTCCTATCTTAATAATTTTGACAATTTTGTAATTTTTGAAAATCATAAAGAATTTGAAATGGACGAATGTAGAAGATATTTAAAAAAGTAGATTATGAAACATTTCAATTTTGATGTTTCAACGAAACGAATGTGACATTAAACAACCCGTGCTTTACGATGAATAGAATGTATAAACGTAGAGAAATGTAATGCGAAAAAATGTGAATTTAACGTACAAAACGCGAGTCTGTTTGTAATTACGAAATTCAGTTCAGAGGTGGGTACTAAAATTAGGGCAAAGAGCGGTAAACCTGAGACACGTGTTTCACAGAGTGTGTTTTAAACGTCAAAAAAAAAAAATAGAAATTTGGAATGAATACCTTTCAGTGTGTGTCGCAAAAAAGTGTCACTGTATCTAAAACGTATTTTAAACTCGACATATATGAAAAGGAACTTTCAATATGAAAAAGGCGTGTTAAAGAGTTTAATCACGATAATAAAATCTGATTTTAAAAGAAGCAACGCAAGATTATATAAAAACGGTAGAACGGATAAAACATATTTGAAACGCGAAAGCATTGAATGCAAGAGACATTTTATGTCAGTGTAGAAAACGCGGATTTAACCGTAATAACAAGATACACTTTGAGTTTGATAACCTTGCATAATATAATATAAAGTTATGTTGAGAGTGCACGTAAAAATAGTATTCAAATAAACTTCAATGGGAACAACTAAAAGGCACTCGCCCATTAAGTAGTTTAAATAACACGTAGTATTTATCACTGATTTTCCTTTCAAAAGACTCTTCATATGAAGTAGATTAAAATTACTAATAAAACAGAAAAAGAGAGCCACATTTAAATAAGACAAAAAAATTATTCAAATCTACCCAAAGTTCAGAAATGAATAATGCAAAGTTCTTCATAAATTAAAAACTCATCAACGAGTGTATCAAAGCGTCTGCTAATTTTCAGCTTGAAATAATGAACAAAAGCGATAAAGGAGCTCAATTTAAGAGACAAGTGATCAGAAATATTTTCCAACGCGTATAATTTATGTTGAATAAAATAATATCTAATCGAATCGAGAACGGACCGTGAGCGGACTACGAGCGGATCGACGGTACAGACCCAACCCTAAGGAAGGATGAGGTAGGCGTTTGCGATTGGATTAATGAGAAGATAAAGAGCGAAGATGGTTAATTGGAGGAAGGAAAAGAAATCGATAGAGAGCCATATAGAATAAGGATGGATACGAAGAGCGTAGGAGCGCTAAATAAGAAGAAATATAGATAATCATGTGAGCTCTACGATGCAAGGCCGTGCAGCGTAGCAGACAGTGCTGAAAGGAAATCGCAAATAGTGTGCATCGTCGATATCGCGTGGACGAGGATCGTGTATCGTCGTAGATCCGATCGATCCTAGTTTTGGCCAGGTTTTCTTGGTCTCGTTCAAAGAGAGTCCAACTCACCTGTTCGCCTTTCGGGTAGATTCAGGGTGGTGGCACGAAAATGGACCGTCTCGCTGCGACCCTTGCTGTTGCTGGCGTACACGTAGACCTCGTAAGTGGTGCCTGGCTCGAGATTGCCCACCGAGAACGATGGAACTTGACTTGTCTGGTTGTACACTGTGCCGGTCGGTTTCGAGGATGAGCTACCGGTACCCGCTTCCCTATCCACCTGTATCGTGAATTTCTGTGGCAAACCGCCGTCGAAGCCCTCTGTGCACTCCACGTACAACGAGTCCGTCGTTTGGTTCAGAAGAGAGCAATTGTGCGGCGTGTCCGGGTGACCTGAGAAAGTAAATAATTAGTAAGGTCGAGCAACTTGTATAGCCGAGTGTTCCGAGACGGTTTCCCTCCAGGATAATTTATAATCCTCGCATGGGGGACCATGGAGAGAGACCAAATTTTAATTTAGTTTTGCATTTTGTACTACTTTCATTTTCGAAATAAAACACTGTTTCTTTCAAAATTAAACATTTCATTTTCGATTAATATTCTTGAAAATTCCTTCATCACCTGCAGTCTGATTAATATCTCTTCGTTCTACTTCTAAATATAGACACGCTTTATTAGTTACATCCGGATCCTCGGATGTACACCATTTATTTTCCCCGCCAAAATGACAGCTTAAAGCGTAACGATTTTCCGTTAAGGGTGTAATAAACGTGTTCCTATTCGACGAAACAGTAATATTGCTTTGTGTAGCAGAGGATCTCAGATGACTGACCTGTGATTGCGTCGACGACCGAAGGCGACGCGATTCACGAAGTCAGAGAAACTAGCATGGCTAACGTCTACCCTTCCTACGAAAACGGAATACAGAGAGGGTAGAAACACTCCCGAGTTCGTCCACGTACACGTTGCATCCCGAGACGACGACGTTTCGTCGTCTTTAATCAACAGATACCAGTTTAGTTAGGTCTTCGCCCTATATTCGACCGCTACATCTCCTCGAATGTCCCGCTTTCATGCAAGGCTTTAATAGCGCTTTTTATTGCGCTATACTGGCGGTTTAGTGCCCTCAATGGTACTAAACTGCGTTTGTCGCGTATTGACGCGTTCTGTACGAACTTTAGGGTCATCTTTTTGAAATGCAGCAATTTTTTAGTGGAGTTGCATAGAGGATATGATAGGAGGCATTTGATCACATGAACTTTGTTAAGATTATTTATTGGTAATGGTACACTCACGATCAAATCGGGGTTCCACAGGGAAGATGGGGATGTCCTAAGTTTCTGTCACTCCTCCTAGACAGCCACAGAGAGACTGACGTTGCAGGGAAGGTCCCCTATATATAGCCCTGTGGCGGACCACCACTTATGTATCACCGTTCACGCGGGGGAATTTAAACTGATATTTATTTATTATTCATATTTCTCAGTTACTAAATTTTATAATATATAATAATTAAAAATGATATTTTGTTTCTAAACTACCTTTAATATTATTATCGTAAAAATTAAGATTTTTAGAATTTCTGCTCATGAGTGTACCTATGGTTTTAAATAAAAATATTGCAATTCTACGACATAAGGCGCTTCCTGACAACTAATCACAAATTCACGAGTTTGCTAAATATTCCATCGAGATAAGTTTCTGAAATCAAAGGCGTATGAAACCCTTTCGCGTTTACGAGCGCCAAAAACCATTATTAACTTTTAAAGGACTCGTAATTGTATGAGTCGCAAACTCTTGTAAGCTTTCGAACTTTGAACTTGCTACCAGATATCCTCAGGAATTCTATGAATTTTTCAACGAGTTTTACGATGATTCTGTACGCCCGCGAACAAGTATTAAAGCTACACTCTTCAATTTTTCTGGTAAGATATCAAACAATTTCAAAATTAATCTTTAGTGATTTCCTATAGCAAATAATTTGTTAGATTCGCTAAATAATCTTTGTCGTAGATGTTAGAATTGAATATCGTTCACGATCTTTCTTGTCATTTTTATATATCAGAACGAGCTGGAAAATGTATTTTCTTTAGAAAAGAAGATAGCGATGATCGCGGAGCAAGTTTGATAAAAAGAAAACAGGATATCAAACTAGCGAAGGCAAGTTTAAAGCACAAAGTCCTGCGAGTCAAAGTATCCCCTGCACTCCGATGGAAGCTCGTAATCGCAATAGCAGCAACTATCGAGTTTTCTGAATCTGATTTACTTGCAACGTGCATTCGATCGAGAAAAAAACGATTCTTTCATCGAGCGTTGCTTTTCAGTTACGTCTCGTTAAGGGGTCGTCAAACACAGGAAACGAGACACCAAAGTAAGAGAGAGAGAGTGAAAAAAAAGGAAAATACGGAAACGGAAGTCTAGAGGTGATGGTCGTTGTTTCTAATCTGCATAATGAGGAAACTTTTTAAATCTAATTTACGTCTATCAAGCGTTCCCCTGAAGAGACGCTTTTCTCCGGATTACTTAGCTCGCCCGAGACCTGGTTACTTCTTTCCTTCCATAAATCTCGACGATTTATATTTACTAAAATCTTAATTTCCTCCGTTGTGCAGTCTGTTACATAATTAAAAACCAAGTTTTTTCCCCATAAAATAATCTCCCGTCGGGCTTCCCTCGGATGGCTTACGCCGAGACACAATTTCCTCGACGCGTATTATTTCAGCGCATTCGCGCGTACCACTTACAGTAATGCGAATTCTCCTTGGATTAAAGGATCATCCGTCGGTGAAGCACGCTTTTGAAATACTGACCGTCGTTAAATATGAATGCTTTAATGTTGCGAAGAAGTTGCCTGATGTTCCTATAGTGGAAGCATTCTTTTTTTCCTCCCTCCTTTCTATGCCATGTAAATTTCACGAGAGAAACATCGTTCGCGTTTTCATTCGAGAAGAATACATGATTCGTTGCTTTATGAATGTTTCAAGTTCGATCTTATCGGAAACGAAATAAACGTAATAAAAATTATTATTTATTTCATAAGAGTACACGTTAAATGTGTAGTGTTTACTAGTTGCAGACAAGTGGAATGAGCGCGCATATGGTCAGACAAGTAGAGGAATACACGAATCAAAGGTAGTTAAATGATTTAATTTAATCGAATCGATCTCCGGCGTGCTGATTTAATTTGAAGAATAATTGTGTAATTTCAATATGGTTACTATTCATTCTCAATGGTTATCGAAATTCTTGTGCTGGGATTACAATTACCTCAACAATATAATGCAATTATTTGATATTAAAAACTCACCAGCTGGCACGATGTGATAAACACAGGGTTCGAGTTGTGTCCCCTGATCATTGGTACCCCAACAAAGAAGGGTACCGTAGTCTAATTCTGTCATTGGCGTGTACGAAGCATTGGAACGGGTTCGTTCGCTGGTGACGTGTGCCTGAGGTATGTCGACCGCTTCCATCGTGTTATTGAACTTCCAGGTGAACGTTACTTCCGATGGATTTGCTTCCAGCTCGCATGGTATCCTTGCGGTTTCCTGTCGCGCCACACCGAACACCTTCGCCTGGCCTTGGTGACAGACAGGTGTAACTGGAAAAAAGTTACGAAAGATTCGTTCGGTTTAAATTCCTATATCGCTGCGTCAAAATTTGAAAAAATTAATAATTTTACGTATACCTTAACCCTCGATTTTTAGTGGCATTGCAAATAGAATAATATTGAAAATTTAACAAAAAGAGAAGATTAAGAAATTTTCAAATTGTTATAATTTGCAATTATCACCTGATAATTATTCTTACTCGTTATAAAAAACTTTATAAGAACAATGAAACCTAATATTTCGTATTTTTGAAATGATGGTTTAGTAAAGTCAACGATCTACTTCATCGGCTGTCTCGTCGTGGAATTTCCTTCGAAGGGCAGAACAGCTTTGAACAGCAGCACATAAGTTGAGCCTTTTGATCCAGAACTTTGACGATGAGTGATCGACTGGTATCTAATATTCGTACAGGACAAAGGTAACACGATTATGGAGCACTATCCATGATTAAGCATTAATGATACAATCGATGTTCGTGCGTCATTCCCAAGTCCTTGTCAACCACAAGCTAGGCAGTATCAGATTTCACGGTAACATATAATACATAATATATGTATATAATATATGTAGTATATGCATCGGAAGCTACCTACTCTCTCGAAGGGTAGTAACATCATTGAGGTGCACCCTTTATTGCTGTCACGAACAGAGAATATTCGTAAACTCACCATCGAAGGAGATTGCGTTTCAAAGGGTTCCTGATTATCCACAATCACAGCGATTCGGGTGAACTTTTGCATAATCGTATCATTTTAATTATTTGAAATTATTATCACGAATATTTTCATATATTCACCGTCCAGGCATTAATACGTAATTCACGTTACATTCTAACTCTTCCATCGTGAACTTCACTTTGTATTATTACAAAGTTTACGCATTCATTTTCAACAAACTTTTGCATTATAAAATCGTGTCAGACTGAAAATCGGCCATTTGATAGGCGACAATTTAATACCGCTGAAAGACCCATTCTCGCTAACGTAAAACTGTTGCAAAGAAGAAGAAGAAGAAGAAGAAGAAGAGGAAGAAGAAGAAGAAACAAAGTGTCGTTAAAAAATTCGTTTCGCCATCGAAACGATCCAACGTCTCGGGAGGAACGAGTCACGCGGAAGTACGGTGTAGGAAAAGTTTTTGACGTCCGTACAGAGCGGATGTTACGGTAGACGAGTGCCGGATATTGCGCAGAATTTCTCGAGTAATCTAATCAATGAAAGGTCAGCCCCTCTGCATCTCCTCGCCGGTTCACCAGTCACCGATGTACCATCCCTGTGTACCCTACACGTTCCTTTACTTTCCGCTTCTACGTACAAAGTATTATTGAATTTCTAGGCGAATCGAGGGACACTTCCGTACCGAGTCGATGTCACAAGGGATCTTTTGTCAGGTTACGCTGGGTATCTTCTTTCTTTCAACGTTCTGCATCTTGCCCTCACAGTTGAATGTCAATCATAGAAAACTATCGAATTCGAGGATCAGCTGGCTCAATAATAATTCCATGGATTCAAAACCTTTCGTTACTTTACTTTTAATTAATTATTGCTGGATGGAGTAAGTTCATTTTGTATATACAGATGACGCACCTTATGCGTCTTATACCATTCCACATGTTGCAACTGATGACACACCTTGTGCGTCGCATGTTATTCTATATAAAAATATTTTATTTTTATTTATTTTATTAGAACTACCAAAAATGCCTGTACACGTCGAATAAAGAATAAGTCTCGAAACATAATGACGTTTCGATAGATTTCTCCTCGCGTCTGCAATATTATTGAATTTTCGAAGTGAAGAGACGTCCAGCGTTTCGCGTCAATTCGCCTCCAGGTGTTCCGATTTTTCCACGGTAACGGTGTTACCGTCGTCTCGATCGTCGACATATGGCCGTTGGACAATTCAGAAATTTACGACGACCACGTCGGAAATTCCTATCGATTGGCCTGTTCACTGACAATAACGAATTAATGTCTGTCCATTAAGCATTAATGACGCATCGCCTATGGCCCCGACATGTACCAAGCGTCTCTGCTAACTATCACAGGGATTTATGTTGCACGAATGCATAATTCACTCGTCGACGGCATAATATTATTGCAAGGGTAGACAGGTCTAGAAACTTGACGATATTCCAGTTTATCGATGGACTATGACTTCTTATATGAAATAAAGTTAGATTTTTTTTACTAAGCAGATTGCTTTAGCATAAGGAAGAATGTTTTATCTCTGCAAATATGCTGATGACCTAGTGCAAGCTATGGCGTAAGAAGTGAGCGTTTTTAAGGGTGAAGAGCAGTGAGTTGAGAAAAAGTTCAGAGAGAATTTTTTAGTAAGAATCCAGAGTAAAGATTCAGATGAGAGTTCACTGAATTTCTTTAGAAGATGTTACCTTTACCTGTAATGATTATTTAATCCTCGGATGACGTACCATGGAGAGAGCCTCAATTTTAATTTAATTTTCTATTTCATATTTTTCATTCAATATTTTATATTCTAAATATTTAGAGTATTCAGTTTTGTTTTAGAAGCATTCATCTGAATCGTACATTTATCTGAGTGTACGCGACGTGCATAGGAAAAGAACTGAAACAAAATAATTAACTTCCTCCGTATCCAAGAGTGAATTGGAACAAATTTTTCTGATTCCAACAAGTTATTCGAATCGAGTGAATAGCGGGAACATTCAGTCTGCCGGGTAGAATAAACTTTACGGTGGTTGTAAGATGTAGAACTACTAATTACCACCAACATCATTAGGTTAAGCCAAGTGTTGATGTAGACTGTTTGCTTGGAATTTCAAAATTGAATCCTAAGTTATTGACATGATTTGATTTTCCGCGAGGGTGACGTACTTTAGGGACTTTCTACCCGTCCCTTTTTGCCCAACGAACGCTTTCATCTAGGCGCATACGCGCAATTTTAATCTTAACTTTAGTCTGTTTTGCTATACTTTTGTGTCTCGCTCTTATTCGCAATACAGTTTTCGTGGAAACTCCTTTACATCCCCCTTTTAGTCGCCTCTTACGACAGGCAGGGGATACCGTGGCCGTATTCTACTCCCCCCGAGCCACAGGGGGTAATAAATTATTGAAAATAAAATGATATTCGAGCGATTTGCGACTTGAACGATATAGATTATTAGAGAATATTTATGAAATTATCCAAGTCGATCAGCCAGGATGATAGATTAAAGAGACTTTAACACACCACGAAGAAGCCGACGTGCCAAAACTCGGCCAAGTGAATGGATCGATCGGTATGATGCGTGGTTTGGTAGCAGACGCTTTGCTCGCAATATCCATTAACAGTGGCTAATTAATGTATCTGATTAGGCGTTGCCGGTGTATCGATGTTCATACATCATCTCGAGTCACAAGCATTCAGAATGTACCCGATATCCGCATGCAACCTGCTGATACGTTGCAGTATTCCGCTGGCGAACCGCGGTAAATGTTAATCGCTTGAAAGTTACCGGCTCTTTCAGGAAATCTTTGATCGATCACGCCTCCTCCTGTATCCTTAAACGAGCAAGCCATTAGGGACGAACGCGAAGACTTTAAGAAAAATTTCTATTACCCTTACAATCTAATCACGATTAAATGCAATGATTTTTCATTTTATAACTACGCTTTATTGAAATTGTAAAAGTGACAACTTCTTTTCCAACAAGTGTTTTCTATAAAAAAAAAAAAGACAAAAAATAGAAACACGTAGAAAGGAGGGCTTGGAGTAGACCAGAAACGAAACGAGCTCCAGCGGGGCAGGAAATTAATGGCAATTAGGTCAAAGAAAGGAGGATACTGCATTCTGAAGATGCAGAGATACGTAGAAGGTAAGTTTAATCGACGCGCAAAGGTAGAAACTGCGCGGAAGTACGTACGTGCACGGAATTCACCACGTTAAGGGAGGCTCGAACAACGTGCATACGCAAACACGTGCAAGCATCACCGAACACCCGTAACTGGGCCGAGGATCATTGAATTTAACCCAGCTCCTATTTTCTCGGAGCTACCACGATTACCATAATACATCCCATTTTATTCCGTAGACGCGTGAAGAAATTCTTTTAACATACAGCACGACCATATTTTGCACGATTCAATTGATGACGCATCGTATGCGTCCTATGTAATTTTATACGATATAGTAATGACGCACCGTATGCGTTCTAGGCTAATTTACATGTTCCGACTGATGAGTAAGTATTTAAATTCAAGTAACGAATGAATAGTCTATATCTAATAATAAATGTAAAAAGGATCCGAACTCTTAGAGATCATCTTATAACGAAGACCTCGGTTTCTAATTACTTAAGCAATCTCGTTTGCGAAATAAATTAGCCCCAAGTGGTTGCTCGAAATTTTTTCAATGAACATCGAAAGTTTAACGAAGGCTGAGCTACTATAACGTCACGAAACCGAGCACCTCTCTTTATCGTTCATCATCTTCCCGAAACATTCGAGGAAAAAAGAAATGTATCTAGCTGAGGTTGTACCGATTCAATCTTTCCCTGTGAATTGGATCAACGATTCCGATTATTAGGTCACTCCCGGAATGCGTTTAAGAGTCAAACAATATCCTCGCAACGATGGTATAATGATCATTTCGAATTTTATTAGTTAGATCACATTAGTTTATCGTACTTTTTAATTTATATTATTAAATTTTATTTCACGCATCGGGTGAATATGAATTTCGCTTGAAATGAATATCAATTTAAGTAATGAGTATATCCGTTAGCATTTAAAACGAGTGAGCAGTGGAATGGCAAGAAAGAAATTACACAGCGATTAATTTGACGGGCGAGACCATTAGCGAGGTGTCCGTTCTCCTTCAAATTATCGTGGGTGACTGTTTCATGGAAACAGGTATTTAACGCTGTCTCCTCTAACATCGTAATGTGTTCGATTATTAATCACATTGCGTCGGGACTGTGGTTAAAAATAAATTTTCGGCTGGGTAGTTAGCCTCGTCTTGCTATTCTGTCAGT